GATTTGGTTGAGATGCTGGTGGAGAAATGGCCGAGAATTTTCCTCAAAATCGTCACCAAACAACTCCACGCCTTTTGCCAGCAGGGCTGCTGCTCCGGCGAAAGTGCAAATCATGCGAGTACTAGTGCCTACTGGAGCAGCCAACTACAACCGGGTCGCGTGACCACAACTTCGGCGGTTGTACCAGCCGCGGGACGGGTCGAGCAGCGCACTACCGAGGACAAGGAAAATAACGACGGCCGCGCGGAACAAGTTCTAACAGCGGAGGACGCGAATAAAGCTACCGGCCCAGAAGTAGAGATGGGCAAGCAACAAGTCGCTGGTTCTCCCGCGGTTCCAGCAGAAGTGGATGAACAGCAACTCCCAGTTCAACCAGTCCTCTCCGCATACAGCACGGCGATACGAGCCAACACGACGAAGGCACAGCGGTTGTCGATGATTTTCTATTTGGCCATCGAGTACAGCTACGATTCGTTCTTCCAGATTTTACGAGATCTGCCCTTCGAATTTGTGCAGTACATCGACGAGCCCTGCCTTTTGTCGCTCAGCAATTACAACAGTAGTACAGCAGGAGGTGGACGATTATATCAGAGTCAGGTATTAATAGAGTCTGAACAGCAACAAGAACGAGAGGCTGCTGCAGAAGCTGCTTCCACTTTTACGAGCCGGAGTCGGCAGACGCAAGCGGCTGCTCAGGCAGGAGGCAGCAGTCACGACACTGTTGACACGTCGGCGAATGATGTGGCTGCATCCTCATCTCCCCAGCAAATAAGCGCACCAGGACTGGTCAACACCTCGGCCACGGCACACTTAACCGCCCTTCATTCGGCCGCGCGGTTGAACGCGGCCGAGATCTGCCAGATACTGCTGGATTGCAACGCCGACAGCTTCGTGCAGGACGCGAACGGCTGGCTCCCGATGCACTACGCCTGCCTGCAGGGCAACAGCAGCGTCGTCCACTTATTGCTGCAAGACTACAACCGAAAAATGCTTTCGCTCATGAACCACCAAGCAGGTGGTAATTTTTCATCTGCAGCCAGTACAGCAATCGTGCCCCACACGCGGCGCATTTCCGCACCTCTAACACCGGAAGATGGTCTCTTTGAGGGTGGTAAGAAAGCTTCTGCGGGTATAGCGGGAAAAAGAACTTCATCTTCTGCCGCTTGGTCTAGGACTTCCAGTGCACCACCAGCAAGTACTACCACAGGTGGGCCACAGCTCGGCTACTCCGCGACGTCCGCAGCGGCGAATTATGCGAACCGGAGAAACCCTTTGCACCACTTGAATATTCGTGGCTCCGCGTTTGCCGCGGAAGTGTGCGAGTGGAACGCGATAGACGAGACGGAATTTGTTGTGCAGGTACACCAAATTTTTCCCGAACTCTCGTATTTCCAATGGGACAGCCAGTCCGCGGGGAGAAACAGTGCGAAGATTCACACCTCTTCATCTTCACGTGCGTATCCTCAATCTTACTACGGATCAGCTGTTGAAGCAGCAGGAGCCGGTTCCTTACTATTCCGCCCAACCTCCGCGTCCGCTGCCGCGCACAGATCGACGGGCGGTGGATTTTTATCGCGCATGGCAGCGGGACCGAGCGGGGGTGCGCCAGGGGGAGTCTTCATGGGTTCCGTCTATGGAGCACGGAGTGATACTCTGTACCACGACCACGGAATGTTCGAGCCTAAAAATCTCCAACTGCATAGTACTCAGGATCATGATCCAACTACCGCCCTGCCTTTTCTGTCGATCATCAGTGAAGAAAGGTCAAGAAACCTCAATAGCATTGCGTCGAGCTGCTGCACCGAAGGTAATTCTGGTTTCGACGTTTTGCGGGACGGCAAGAGAAATGATTGCTCGTCGGGCCGCGTAGGAAGTGGGGGAGCTGAAGAAGATTATACGGATAATACCCATCAAGATCAACACTCCATTTCAGCTGCGTCAGCACTACAGGAACCGACCGGCGGCCATCTTCCTCCAAGCACGTCCAATATAGCGGACAGTGTTGAAGAGCGGTCGGGCGGTGGTGGCTCACCCAATGACCCCGTGCTGCACAACAACATCATATCCTGAGTAAAAACGTCCCCACACCAGAGTTGTAATGCAGATTTGCAAAGACAGGAAGACTTGTAATGCGCATCCCCATGAGAGCCATTTCCAGTCGTGTTGTGGGATTTGTGATGCTGTGAACAGGATGAGCAGATGAATCTGTGATGCGGCTGCACTTGCTAACCTGCACTACACTGCGGAGCGCAACTTGTCATGCGTGACTCACAAAGCTCCTAGGTTTGTGTTGCAAAATCCCCATCCTGACTCTGGTGTGGGGACGTTTTTACTCAGGAAACATCAATGTGGCAACGCAGTCGATCGGTCTGGACGCGGTGTGGCGGAAAGCAGTGTCTGGTGATATTACAATGGAAAATGCCCCCAGTCCACAACTTGGCAGCATTTGTATTGCAAACCTTTCCAATTGAAACGCTCCCCGTCTTGCATATATCAGCATCAGAAATTTTCCATGCTGAATAGCTCAAATCTGTGTTGCAAAGGCGCCCAACAGCAGCCGGATCTGTTACGCAAGCGATACCTTGCGCAGTCTAGGTTCTGCATCAGAAAGGCTCGTAGTCCTTTCATGCAAGACAAAAAGCTTTCACTTGCAAACTTTGCATGAGAAACTATAATTGCAAGTTCCGGGGTGGGGGCATTTTTCATTTTGATAAGTGACACGCAAAAGGGCACGAGTCAGCAATCGTCCCGCTCTGTGGGTGGAGGAGCTGGAATAAATGCTGCTGGAAATTCTAACAAGAGTGAAGACGCTCAAATGGGCGGGCAAAAGTCGCGCGCATTTTTAAGTTGTTCCCCCTACAACCCGACAAGAATGTCCGCCGCAATGAACAATACGGTGAACGCCAGAGCGCAAGAGAAGTATCTGCAGACGGTTTGCAGCCTGCTGTCTCTGTACCACGTTGCTGCAGATCGGTACGACTTGTTTACGCAGGGACAGGAGATGAATCTGACGGCACCGGCGGCCTTCCAGAAAATGAATAATGCAGCGGGCGGTGGGGATATAAACGATCCGAAGATGAAAAATGGCCCTAATGTTTCGTCCACCAAACTCACGCTTTCCTCCTGGACCGACCTCCTGCAGCCCTTTTTCGGGGAAGAAACCCTGTATGACAGTGCACAACTCCCCCTCGTTCTCATTTCTCATGCAAAACACCAAAGCCACCCTTTGCCCTTTGCCGATACTATGCATGACAGATTCCCAAAGCCGAAACAGCACTACAACCAGTCGTAAATTTGTCATGCAAAAGCTGCATCTGTGCCAGGACTTGTGTTGCTGCGGACGCCATCCAAATGAGGGGGAGGTGGAGTTATGCATTTTCATACCCTGGGCCTCGCGCATCCCGAGACGTTCAACGCACTGTGCACGTACGTGATTCTTCGCAATTTGGGCCAGGAAAACGCAGACTTTCGCTGCGCGGGGAAGAGCGCGGAGGTGTTGAGCGCGTTGGGGATTTTTAAACCAGGCTCCTTCGAAGAGGGAGGTGGTGGTACTGCTGGTGGTGCTGGCAGCGGCACGACCAGGACGGCTTCTGTTGCGAGGAAAACAACAACATTCGGAGGTGGGCAGCACGACCTCCAAGAGCGGCCGACAAGTGGGGACGTCACTTACGGAGGAGATGAGCATCCATTTGGGAGGAGTAGATCAGGACCGTTTATTAGCAGCGATCACAACGGGTATCTTCGGCAAGCACGTGGTCCTGGACCTGACGGGAGCGACAGTTTATTTCAGGGAAGAAATGCTTCATATTTTTCCACCTCGCATGTAACAAGATCAAGACCCTGTAGCAGCTACGATGGTAATTATGTCACCAATTTGCATCCCGCAGAAGTTGAGCTAAGTGACAGTCTCTGGCGCGTGGCTGACGATCGAGGACGCAATGGGAAACTGCTCTCTGTGATCGGCGTTAAGAATACTGCGAGTAGTAGTAGTAGTGCAACAAATAACGCGATGACGAGGGCGGGCTCCGGCGCTCCTGGTCTTGCTTCCCAAGAACCCCAGCAATTTTCCTCTAGTTTCAGCACAACCTCCAATCTCCTGCCCAGTTTCGCGCGGCTGGATCACGAGCACCAAATCCTTTTGCGGAAATGCTTCTCGATTCAGTGGAGCTTCCGGCAGTTTCTAGCCGGGGAGAATGTGGCGGCGAATGTCGAAAAGTTGAGAAAGGAATTGCTTGGCGATCGTACGAACCACTACACATCGGAGGGAAGAAAAACATCATCGCCGGACGGGGGGTTCTCGTTTAACAGCAGCACTTCATCTACCGGAGCATCGCCACCACACAGCACCTTATCAGCTAGAAAAACCCTCGCGTTTTTTCTTTTCACGATTTTTCTCGACCTGGCCGGCTCGCGGGGGGCGGAGTCTCTCTCCGGCTCGTTGGCCATGACGGAGTCCGTTTTTCAGCGGTTTTTCTTTGGGGCTCAGGTGTTGATGGAGTCACTGATAGTTCCTATTGCTAGTATTCCAGGTGGAGGTCTTGTGGGCCACGGAGGTGCTGGAGCAGTGCAAGAAAGCGTACTACCGAAAAGTCACGCCGCCACTTGTGCTGACACCGTCAGCACCCAACATAGCCACCTTGTACCTATGACGGCCACCGATTTGGTCCTGTACCACAGTTGGCAGAAAACACGCGGAAAATTTGTGAAGGAAACGACGGAGCGACTGCAAACGAAAAGTGACCACGAACTGCAAGGACAAGGCGTGGTACAAGAGCAGGAAGACAAAACTTCTGTTGGCATCAGTAGTCCTACCGCGAAAAAGATCATCGACGGAGCCACCATCATACCAGGCACTAAGAACTCAAAGGAGCAAAACTACGCTAAATTGTCTCACGAGCAACGGATTCGGCTTTGGGCAGAATTGGATGTAGACGAGGCTCGACAGGACGAGAGTCCTGCTCAACAGCAAAGCACCGGCGGAAATCATGATACGAGCAGCGGTGTTTTTAAGAGTGGCATGACCGAAAATCAAAATATTAACCACCAGGGCAGCTGCCATGAGGACGAAGATCGGGAAGAGTTCGAAAAGCGAAGAATGGGCCAGGCAGCACTCCAGAACCGGGCGCTAGCGAGACTGGCAGTGGCCCTCACAGCGTTTGAAGAAGAGGACGACAGCACCATCATCGGCGGTGTGGAGGAAACAACTGAAATTAGCGGTGGAGCAGCAGCTGCAGCTGCTTCTAAACAAAAAAGGATCTCCGGCTCCGTAGCAGAACTGAAGACCGCGTTTTTCCACGGTCTTTCACCACCTGAGCGCTTTCGCCTCAGTCGGCTCTTGAATAATGGCGACTTCATGTTGGGCAAAAATTTCTCAGTGGCGGCTGGTGGCGGGTCATCTGAACAACTACCCACTGCTAATAACGGGACAACATCTCCTCCAAGCATGGCAAGTGGAGCTACTGCATCTTCAACAACACACAGAAAGCAACAGAATTTCTCCGGACCTCCGCAACTCTTGATCCAAGAACTGTCGGTTTTTTTGAAATCTGCCCGAAACTCTACTTTCATCGGCCTCGAACGTGCTTTGAAGCTGCTCTTGCGAGTGTGCGACGAGGCGGAAAGGCTGTGGCGTTTAACTTCTCGGACCGTAGGGGGAGTAGAGCAGCCGCCCTTGCAGCAGGAGCGAGGAAACGACATCAACATCGACGGAGTTGATGTGGTGGCGCATCAACACGAACTTCAAGAGTCCAACTACATTTGTGTTGACCTGGCTTTCCTAATCGGTATCGGCGCACTGCACAGGAACGACTTGCGTAATGTCATCTGGACCAATGGAGAAGAAAACGTCGTCGACCCAGTTCAGAGGTCCTCGTCTTCAAACGAGTTTATTTCTCAGGAAACAGACGATCACGTTCACGCCTTTGAAACTGACACAATCGTACCGGCAGTTCAGAACAACGAAAACGATACTGCTGGACTTGCGCAAGACAACTTTTCGCATCAGGTCGCCTCCTTCCTTTACGAGCATAGCACATTTTTCTATGTCGAAAATCACACGACGACGACGACCCGCGTGAACGACGATGAACCCGCAAGAATAGGGGCGACCGTAGCCGACGAACATCAAACTCGACAATTTGTCGCAAAGCTCTCTCCCTGGCGGTTTTTCCTGGATCCGGTCGAGATCAGCGAAATTCAAACTTCTGCGTTGCAGTTTGCCGACACTCTGGTTGCGAAGATGCTGGAAGCTGGGGCGCGGGGGTCCCTGAGTCGGCAGGAAACCGCTGATGATGGTTTGTCGGAAGAAGAAGATCATGGGGATGAAGGTGAAGATGTCGAGGATGAGGAAACAGCATACGAGATGAAAAATGAGTCAACGTCTGCGGGCTCAGATGATTGTTCTGGGAGTGGAAATAAATACGAAGATTTTACTTCCTCTGCCGACGAACTCATGGAGTCAGCTTCCTCCCGCCCGGAAGATAATCCGTCACGAATTCCTAGGCTGGGAAGCACCGGAAATATGATCAAACGTAGGCGGTTTAATATGCGGACAGGGGTACTGTACTCCGCCGGTCTGCAGCTTCTGGCGAATGGCGGACAGAAGACATCGTACGAGGCCGAAACATTTCTCTTGTTCACGAGGTTGCAAAATGTCTATCCGGAACTCGGGTACTATTGGACTCAGTCGGACGTCGCTCAACATAATTTGGAGCCGCGTGACAATGAAAACACACAACATCTACTTCCAGAAAAGTCAAAGAACTACTACATCAATGTTGCAAGTGCCGCAAGAGACGAGGTGCGGCGGCTTTGTGCCGCTTTTTACTACCTATTATCTGACGATTACAACGGTTTCGTGTTTGCGACGTCCACGGGAAATTATATCAAACCGTCAACGACTACGACCGGCACGCCGCCTAGAGATGTTAACCCCGCTCCTCATGAAGCAGCAAGTGGTGCAGCCAACGAGAGTAGTAGCGGCACAACCTCCGCTTTTTCGAGAGCTCCTTCAATGATTTCGAAGCGTTCCTTCAAGAACCTGCAGAAGTGCTTTATCGAACCGATCGCAGAGGCCGGGCCGGAAGTTCTGGACGCGGTTTTTGTGTGCTTGATTCTCTCGCGGCTGCACAATGTGGCGAGATTCAGGAAGGACGTGAAGAGGCTACTGCGGAAGTGCTGTAGCTCTAGTACGGAGGTGGACAAGAAGGTAGAAGGCACGACAACTGGCGGGTGTAGAACTACTTCTTCTTCTAAAGGTGATTCAGTGATGAAAAGTCCTGTGACTTCCTCTCGACCCCCCTGGCAGAAAAACGCGTTCGTGCTGGAAATTCTTGAACTCGGGCTCGTTGAGGAGCATGGCCACGGTGACTGTGACAGCAGTATCCCGAATGGCAAAAATAAAACAGACGACGACGGGCACACGACTTTTTCAACGACCAACGAAGGTGTTGTACACCAGAGAAAGAAACTTACACTGGAAACGCAGATTCCGAACCTGTTCCCCAGTTTTGCCAGATTGGATGGCCCGTTGAAGAGATTCGTGTACGAAACGCTGGACTCGGACTTCTCTTTTGAGCAGTTCATTCGCGGGGAAACCGTAGGGGATAGCTTGGTGGATTTGTATAACATGCGGAACATCATGAAACTCGATGCAGATGAGCTGGCTCGTGGTCCACCTGCTGTCGACAGCTACGCAGGGATTATTTCGGGTGAACCGGAGGGAGACCTTGCTTACACCGATATTCTGAGTAAAAACGTCCCCACCCCAGACTTGTCATGCAAATCTGCATGCCAAAAAAGATTCTCATGCGGAGCCCCATGAGAAGCATTTTCTAGTCGTCTTTTGGAATTTGTAATGCTAGAACCAGCATGATGTGCTAGATGGATCTGGGATGCTGCTGAACTAGCTGAACAGGATTAGACTATGAGGGCAAACTTGTCATGGGAAACAGCCAATGCTGGTTGATTTGTCTAGCAGATTGCCCATCTTGACTCTGATGTGGGGACGTTTTTGCTCAGCATAGCCGACCAATCCTCTTCGGGCTTGGCCTTCTTTCTCGCGGTTTTAACCCTAGAACAGGCGTGCCAGTTTTGCTCGAATTTTTATCACACTTCTGACAAGGCAGTCGTTTTTGGCGAGCGCGAGAGTGGCACTGCAAGTCGAAATGGCGGGAATGAAAAAGCAACCTATGGAACGGAGAACTACAGGAAGAGCAAGGTGACAAGCACTACGAATTTTGATGCAGGAGGCACAGCAGCAGACAAAGTCAAAGAGAAAGACAATGACAGTGAAACCGGTCGTCGTGTTGACCACGTAACATCATCCGCTTTTCCATCTGCGCGAAAGTCACAAAAAAGTTTCGATGAGATCGAAAAGGCGCTCCTCGTTCTGCTGGACTTTTACGATTCCGAAATGACAGAGGACGCAATCTACTACAACTACCTGATCCGGCTAGCGACGTCGGTCCCGGTGCTCATCGAATTGAAATCGATCGGAACCCCGAAAACCGTGAACCCCGCGATGGTGCGGCTCGCGTGCCTGACGAGCGCAACCAGTGTCAGCACGGAAATCGGGGCGAGTATCCTTTGCAAAAACGTCCCCACCTGAGAGTTGCCATGCAAATCTGCATGCGAAAAAAGTTTCTGATGCTGGGCCCCATGAGAGGCATTTTCTGTTCGTGTTTTGGGATTTGTGGTGCTATAATCAGCATGATGTGCTGGACCTGTGATGCTGCTGAACTACCTAAGCAGGATCACACTACAAGGACAAACTTGTCATGCGAAACAGCCAAAGCTGGTTGATTTGTCTAGCAGATTTACCACCTTGGCTCTGGTGTAGGGACGTTTTTACTCAGGATAGCGATACACGGGGAACTGCTGCGGGACGCGATCGCGACCATGGTGAAAGAGGATCGGGTATCAAATGCAAAAATGTCTGGGTCTGGAACAAAGCAACTTGTCATGCTATATCTAAATCATGTAAAAATTTGTGTTGCATGATTACCACAAGCTGTCCACTTTTGACCTAATCGAGAGGCAGTTTCTCATGCAGGATTGGCATGATAGAACTCTCGCAGAATCTGTCATGCTATGTCCTACATCCCAGACCTCATGGGTCATGGAAAACCTGCATGACAAGGCTGGCACTCTTCCAGACCCAGACATCTTTGCAGTTGATATCGGGGCGCGTGGGAACGTCTGGAAGGGTACTTGTCAAAGTACAGCAGCAGGGAAGGTAGTTGTCTGGTGACCATTCAGGGTAGTACGACTTCTAGCAGTATTAACACTTTTCATCAACCGGGCCGCGGTGTGGGGTTGTCGTTCTATGGAGCTGCCGGTGGTTCCTCATCCACACTGTTCGTTCTTTCTGACGCGCATTTGTTTTTCCAGGCGGCGATCGAGAACCCCCGGATCGAGTTGGTACACGCGTTGAAAATCTTGCTGAAAGTTTTCGACGCTGCACAGAGCAGCGTCGTCGGAAAAATATCGTCATCGGCAGCAACGACCACGGGGATGAAAAATACCACAAGGGCTTCGTCGAACAATCACTTTCTCAGTACTAGTAGAGCCTCAACCTCGTTTCGTCCTCCGCAAGAACATGTTGTGCGAAGTAAACATGAGCCGATAAAGATCCAGTTTCGGGATTTGACCCAGTTTACGAAATCCTATAGTTCCGCCGTGAAATTTGAGAACGTGGGGCTGGACTTGTTTCCCATCCGGAGCGTGTCGGACCACGAAGAACACCACAACACGAGCAAGGCGGGCGCGGCTTATGACCAAGAATACCTCGTCAGTGCCCGCCCTTGGGTGCCGATAGAGGACGAGAGGATCTTGAGAAATTTGTCGGAAAAAGCGGGAGAATTCATTTCGAAAAAAATCTTAGGGTGGAGCTCGCACGAGGACCGTGAAGATGAAGATACTTCTGTTGACCACTTCGAGCAGAAGAAACGACCTGGGGGAAATAATGACAATCTTCACAATGAACATCGAGCAGCGAGGAAAGACAAAGACATCTCCGGTGTCGGTGGAAATGATTTTCGAGGACCACATGCCGCAGCCGCAGCTGGTGCTTTGGGTCGTTCATCACAACGAAGTGTATCTAAACACGGCCGCGCAGGACGAGCGACAGCTGCACGACCGGATCATTTTTTTTGTCAACCGAGGACGACGCCGGAAGAATTTCTTCAGGAGATCAAGCATTATTACCCGGAGCTCTGTTACTTCCGGGGGTATGAAACCGACGAGCGCAATTCGGAATTTTTCGTGGATGCGGAGAAGTTCCACAATCTTGATGGTGTGATGAAAAACAGCAGTTCTGATGGTGGATCTTCCGGATCACGACCTGGAGATGAAAATGATTATGAGCAAGAAGTAGATGAGGACCACTTGGGCGACAGTTCTGTGTATTCTATCGCGTCAGGTAAAAAGCCACCGACGTCCTCGGCAAAGAAGGCGTACTCAGATATGTCGCGTTCGCCGAAGCACATCTTGAAGCACACGGTTTCCGGGTTCCTCACCGTCTTTTGCATCGTGACGGACAAATACGAGGAATTTTGCAATCTAGTGCCGGCCAGTACCGGCACAAGAAAAATGAATTACATGACCGTCGGTGGAGGTGCCGGTGGCGGTGGAACAGCAACATCAACTACTACGAGCGCCGTTGGTCATCCACCTCGGGATAAGAATAATCTGGAATTGACCACTTACGCCTGGAAGGAGCTGACGAGTTGGGCGACGGAAAACGTGAAGATTTTCGACAAGGAGATTCTCGACGCGGTCTTCGCCTATTTGGCCATCCACGAGCTCGGAAAATTGCCACTGTTGCGACAGGATTTGGGCATGGCTATGGGAGGTGGGACAACATCGTCAGCAAGTGGTGGTGGAAAAAATAAGGCAGAATCTTCTACGTCTCAAATCCAACAGTCACACAAGATGAAGAAGATGAAGAAAAGCAACGACCAAAGTGCGAACGCAATCATCTTTGACCCGTCCACGGTGTTGACGCATGTGATCAAAACAAACGCCGCCGTCTTGCCAAGCTTCAACCGACTGCCCAAAAAGTGGCAGCTGGTTATCGAGACCCTGATCCAGATGCGGTTTCGCTTCAACCAGTTTCTGCAGAACGAGTGCGTGCCCGCGTCCCTGGATTTCTTAAGGATATTCCTGTATGCATTGCAATTATGTTTACGTCTGGAAACTTGTAATGCTGGTTGCGGAAGACGAGGACACCTCATTTGACTGGCAAGCATGACAAGTTTTGGAGGTGCTACAGTCTTGGCTTTTCTGCATGACAAAGCGAGCTTCTGCATGACAGAAAAGTGGCACTTTTGGGTAATGTGCATGACAGATCGTTGAGATGCATGTCCGACAAGCATGACAAACCTTGGATCTTTCCAGACCCAGACATATTTGCAGTTTATATCCTGCAAACCTGCGCGAATTGGAACAAGAGTGTTTTATTGGCAGGAAGTAGAAGTACAAATAACGACCGGGCAGCTGGTCGTGGTGGAAGATCATCTAGTACCGCAGGTGGACATACTGTCGGTCAGCTTGATGCTAGAAGTACAACAACACCTGCAAGTACAAAGATAAATCCGGTGGCGGGAAGAACAATGGACGACGTTTCGCAGGGTTATCCGCGCCACAGTGGGCGGACACGAATCGACGAAAATCTTCGCACGGCGTCCTCTCCTTCGTCGCATCGAAGAGCGACGCCGGACCAACACACGTCTACTGCAGCGGGAGGAATGGGTTTTGCTAGCGGAAATAAGCGACAGGAACAAGAATCGCTTCCTCACCCGGACCTGCTTCCGGACTGCATGCAGCTGTACCATTTTTATCTGTTCCTATCAAATGCAAAAATGTCTGCGTCTGGAAGATTGCTAGGCTTGTCATGCAGGTTTTCCATGGCCCACACGGTCTGGCATGCGCTGCCTAGCATGACAGGTTCTGTGAGATCTCTATCATGCCTTTCGTGCATGAGAAACTGCCTCTAAACTTGTTCAAAAGTGGACCTCTTTTGGTGATCATGCAAGACAAATTTTTCCACGATCCAGATGCAGCATGACAAGTTACACTCTTCCAGACCCAGACATATTTGCAATGCATAGTTCCTGTGTTTCGCCGATATGGGCCATGTGATGACGGAGAACGTTTTCCGGAATTTCCAGATGGGCCGGCATGCGTTGCAATACTTTCTCGAGTCCTCTGCCATGCGGGCGATATTGACCTCAACTGCAGATCCTCTCACAAGTGGAGCCGGAACTACAAGGGAAGCAACAGCTGGACAGCTAGGAATGCAGGAGAACGACCTGCAGAAGCACGAAGATGAAAACAATGACATGATGAACAGCGGGACATCTTCAAAAAATAAAAACGCGCACCAGCTGGTTGTTTCCAAAAAAACCGCAGCGGCCAATTCGCACCAACACCAAGGGACGAGCTACGACGTGGCTTCTTCGATTCTTATGGCCTACGACATCTACCTGCACAACCGGTCCGCGCAATGCCTGGCCGAACTCTCGTCCGCGAAGGAGCGGTATGCATTGCAAGTATGTTTCTTGGGTCTGAAAATAGAATGGGATTTGTGATGCTAACTTTCTATGCTACATACACCTGTATTGCATGTGCAGCAAATTATAATTAAAGGAGCACCCGGATCATAGGCATAGGGAAGCCTTTGCGACGATAGGTGTGAAGTAGATGCTAGAGCATGGATTACATCAGGCAAGAACGCGGTTCATGTAAGTACTACAATTGTGCATGAGAAAACTCCTCCAATATAGATCTTCCCAGACGTCCCAGACATATTTGCAATGTATAAAAAGGCGGTGATCAAGCTGTGCTGCAATGCCCGGGTGTTCACCTTTGAACAGGGGAAGAAGATTCAGCAGGCGTTTTCGGAACTGTTTCTCGATGAGCAGAAGCGGTTCATCGAATATCTCAACCTGGACGGCATCCACGAGCGTCCCGGCTTTCTCAGCTATCTATCGCAAGAAAAAAGTGTTACAGTTACAGACTGTGTTGCAGGCCAAGCAAGACAGACAAGCTGTGTCATGCCGGATATGCATAGGAGCCTCGTTGCATAGCTGTTTTCCCGTAGGATTTCTGCATTACAAGTTTTCTCTCTCATGCGGAGAAATTTGTGTTGCTGAATTGACTACAGATGTGTAACTGTAACACTTTTTTCGTGGGATACTATCACTTGCCCAACTATTTCGAGGCGTGCACCAGTGGCGAGCGAGGGGAGGTGATCGGCTACGAGCGGGCGCTGCGGCTCCTCCTCGCGATTTTTGATTCCCTGAAGTACAACTACCGCGACTCGCTGGAGTGCATTGTGTATGTGCACCTGATGGACATTGTCCACTGGGCCATGCACTGCACACACTCGAAGTTGTTTGAAGCCACTCAATTCTATTTGGAAGAAATGACCAACTACAGTAGCTGTGCCAGCAGCGCTTCGACGGTCGTGGGGGAGGATGTAGGTCCACTCGACGAAAATGGAAATGCTAGTACATCAGATGAAGCTCTTCGTCTCGCGAACGAAGAACGAGCTGCAGAAGCAGGGTTTTTATCAGCATGCGCTACCTCAGCTGAAGATGTCGTAGATGTTGAACTACAAAGGCACGAGAGTTTTGACAAGACGGGGGATCATCCCTCCTCGAGCAGTAGTACTGGGATCGAGTTGCTCATTCGGGTGGACAAGATCCGCACCGAGCAGGTGTACGAGCGAAGGAAAGAGAAGAAGGGGGTGCCGAACATGCACATTCTTCTTCAGGACGTGGACTTCTCGCGCTGTTGCGAGTACTCGAGCAAACCCACCGCGGTGCTTGCGCCGCAGGTCTCGGCGCTTGAACAGGGCGGGTATGACGAGGATGGAGGCGGAAATGTAAATGAGAAAAGAAGCCCAACAACAACTTCTGAGGGCGGCGAAATGGTGAGGGCGCCGGGAGGACCAGGTAGCGTGGTAACGAAACAGAAAAGCATTACCGAAAGTGCGAAATTATCCGTTTCAGGTGCGGCTGGTGGAAACAACGGCAACAACAAGATCGCGAAGCAGCTGTCCATATGGATTGCAAAAGTATCGTACTCGTATATTAAATGCATTACATCATGAGAAATGAAATTTGTAATGCTGATTTACCTCAAGAAGCATAATGCATGATTGCAATACGAGTACGATGCTTTTGCATTGCATAGTCCACGTGCCGCTTTCACCCGGCGCGGCGGCAGTTCGCAAACAACTTCGCCGCCTATTTGCACAAAATCAAGGACCTTTACGGCCTGCACGTGACTACTTCCTGCTACAACTTTTGGAAGCAGCAGACTTTTATCAAATGCAAAAATGTCTGGGTCAGGATCTGGAAGTAGAATGCAAGTTTGTCATGCTTGCCTGGCATGACTCGACAATCTGTGTTGCATAGGCACGAAAAAGCCCTCTTGCCTGTCATGGAAAAATGCAGTTTGCCATGCGGAGTACGTAAGACATAGTAGCCAAAAAATTTGTCATGCATAGCTGCGCACTGCAGTGCCTCTATCATTCACTTTTAGCACTACAAGTTTCCACTTCCAGACCCAGACATTTTTGCAATCCATAACTTTCAAGAACGGCGGCGCGAAGGTGATTCCGGCTTTTTCCTACGCGAGCCGGTATCATGATCAAAAACGTCCCCACACCAGAATCAAGATGGGAAATCTGCTAGACAAATCACACAGCTTTGGTTGTTTGGCATGACAAGTTTGTCCTCGTAGTGAGATCCTGTTTCGCTAGCTCAGAAGCATCACAGATCTAGCACAGCATGCTGATCCTAGCATCACAAATCCCAAAACACGAAAAGCAAATGCCTCTCATAGGGCTCCGCATGAGAAACCTTTTTGGCATGCAGAATTGCACGACAGCTCTGGAGTGGAGATGTTTTCACACGGGATAGCCGCACCTGCGTGTTCTTCTTCGACGATAATCTGGAATTTTTTGAAGAGGAAGTTATAGCCACGGGCGGGAACAATGTTCATCCTGGCAATCGTAGCAGCAGTACTACTAATGTAGGCACGTCGGCCGCAACTAGTACAGCAGCAGACGACAAGAACCTTCAAGGAGTAGAACAGGGCTTGAAAACATCCAGTCAGAAGTCGGTGACCAAAACACCTACTTTGGGTATTACCAAGATCAAATCCCGAAGAGCAGCAGCAGCGTCCTCAGCCCGGACCTCTGCAGGCGAGGGAGGAGAGAACAATATCAATGCGTCGGGAAATATCGGAAATTATGCTGGCGGCGTCTACGACGCTTCCTGTAGTAGGTCCTCGCAACTCTTACCCGAGCCGCAGCTGAGTACGGAGTTTCTGCCCGGGATTTTGAACTTGCGGGACGTGTCCGGGCGGTTTGTTGATTTTTCGATCGGGAAAAACGGGTTCGAGGAGGTTTCGAGCTGTGTGTATGAGGACGGTTACAGTAGCACCAGTAGCAAAATAAACCCGATGAACAACGACGACCGCCCGGCGGGGGATCAAGTAGCCGCAAACTCCGCGACATCTTCAACGCGCGAGACCACGTGCTCGCCGATCCTGTACAGTAAGGAGTACAATGTGGTGCTGTGCAAGGTCTGCATCTTGGATGCCATGACCGATGACGAGTTTTTCACGCGCATCATCGAGCGGTTTTCGCGGCCCAAGGAACGCATCATGATCTTCATGGACGTCAACTCGACCATCGTGTTCGGCGACCTGATGAGCGGGAAAGACCCAGACTTCGTGCTGCTCTCCACGCTGTTTGAAGCGATCATTCTGCATATTGCGAGGAAAAATCCCACCTCCCCATATTGAAAAGGACATTTGTGATGCTGGATTTGCGTACACAAATCGACTTGTATTGCTAGAAGGCCAAGAGACGCAGTTTGTTGTGGCCTGAATTGCAGGCAATTTGTCATGCTGTCTCGCACCACTCCCAGTTGCCTCCTGTCATGCTGAAGATGCAAGGCTTTGTTCCCACGCCAGCCAGCACTACAGTGTCTACATCTTTTGCCTTCTAGCATGACAACGCGATAATTTGTGGTAGCAAATCACGCTACACAAGTCTCCGTTTTAGTATGGAGAGGGGGGATTTTTCATTTTGATACTGCAGCCCAAGGAAACGTTCGTGTTCGACTACGACCCAAACAAGAACTACGAATCGAGTGGTTATCGCGCTAAAAAAGTGTCACAGTTACACTTTGTGTTGCATTCCAAGCAAGACAGACAAGCTCTGTCATGCCGAATATGCATAGCAGCCTCGTTTCATAGGTGTTTTCCCGTAGGATTTCTGCATTGCAAGTTTTCTTCCTCATGCGCAGAAATTTGTGCTGCTGAATTGACAACAGATGTGTAACTGTAACACGTTTTTCTTTGCATGCTGGTGGTGGTGTCAGTTCTTTTAGCGCCGGCACGGGAACTAGCACAGCGACTACTTCTTCTAGCGGAAGACGTAAGGACTATCCCGCGGCAACACCAACCGCCGCGCCGAGCGGAGTTGCTGCATCATCATCAACCACCAGTTCTTGCGAGTGCCAGAAGGGGAGGCAGATAGCGCTGAAAAAGCTGGTGAAGAATTTCCTATTGCAAAACGACCGGGAAGCCTACAAAAAATTTTGGAAACCGGAGAACTGCAAGAAGCTGCTGCAGTACTGTACAACTTGCTCAAGCGTTACAATCTCAAACCACGTTACAATAGAATCTGGAATTTGTGTTGCATGATGGTCATGACAGACTCGCATAGCGTTCCACCTTTTGCAATACAAATTTCGTCAGATTGTAGTGGGGTTTGGGGCTCCGGAACGTGTCATGCGCAATCTTACGTGAGTTGGCTAGATCATGCACTCTTGCATCAGAGATTTCGACATTCTATTGTAACGTTTGAGACTGTAATGTTTAAGCAGGTCATATACTGCTTGCTGAAGGGAAACATCAAGATTTACGGGAAAACCATGACCAAAATCGAGGATTTTGACCTGCTCTACCACGAGTACGCACTGCTGCTGAAGCGAACGAAGGGCGGGATAGTCCGGAGCTGGTTTGAGCTCTACCGGAAGTACCACGAAAACTCGCTGATTATGATCAACACCTTCGGCGTGGACAGCCGGAAAGTCATTCACGAAACGGTCACTGAGTCGGAGAGCGACGTGCAAATGTTTTCCGTGAACTACGACCAGTGGTCGGACCGCGACAAGAAGAAATTCCAGGAACAGTACACCCCGACCGTGGTGCCGCTGGGCCGAGGCAGCTCCGTGCGCGGCTCGGAAACGAGTACGACCGCAATGACGAACAAAACCGGCCAGGCGGGCAATTCTGCCAGGACCACCGCCGGTGGTTTGTTCGGGAAAACGAAAAGCGCGTTTAGCGAATGCAAACATTTCTGGGTCTGGGAGATTGCGATATTTGAGATGCTAGCCTGGCATGAGTCTGAACTCTGTATTGCGTGGCCGCAATGAGCTCCTCTTACCTGTCATGCAAAAACGCTGCTTCTCACGCGGAGTACGCAACTGAGAACCATGGTGGAAAAAGTTGTCCTGCTTGGCAGCGCATGAAACAGTGCGCTCCCTATTCTCTGCCTTGCATCACAAGTTCCCAGAGCCAGACATATCTGCAATGCATAGCGTTTATCAAGGAGCAACTGAACAATCATGTGGACATCGACAAGTCGCGGGATATCAAAACATTATTGGAGGAGCAAAAGGACGAGCTAGTGCAGAAGGGAGCGCCTTGTATTTCTCCTAATATGCCGGGTGGAAAACTAGCGCAAAACGTGTTCTACATGGAGAAGAAAGAGAACTTAAGAAGTTCGAACCGGTTCCGCGAACATCAAGTTGAGGAATCTTGTACAACTTCCAAGCGCAAAGAGGAGGAGTCGCCGGGGATAAGAATTTTAGACGGTAGCTTCTTGCAATTTGTGCAACTGTCAACGAGAACGACATCTGCAACTCGAAAGAACGACGAAACTAACATTGAAGATTCGGAAACGAAAGAACTTCAGCTGCGATTCGACTACGGGAAGATTTTACAAAACAAGCCCTTCAGATTCCGCGACAAGGAGTTGAGAAAAGCCGAGAAGGAGGCGAATGTTTCGCTCGTTCAGGCGTTCAAGGTCGTCTTTGGAGAACTAGGATCTAGTACTGCGGAAGAAGTACCGGCGGAAAAGATCATAACGGGGAAAAACAAGAAGAACAAAAAATCTCCAGCGAACGAAGAAGCAGCAAGCGAGTACAAAGAGGGCAGTACATCAACAGGAGGCGCACACGACACTACTTATTTCGACCGAGCAACGCTGAGTTCCATTGTGAAGGACGCGGAGCTTGCGTTTCTGCAAGTATCAGATGCAAATATGTCTGGGTCTGGAAACTTGTGATGCTGGGTGGCGTCTCATGATGAGGCTACAAATGCTGGCTCAGCATGACAAGTTTCTGAGCTCCTAGGTGTTGCCTATTCTGCATGACAAGCTGCGCTTCTGCATCACAGAAAAACGGAGCTCTTGGGTAACGTGCATGACAGATTTAAGAGTCATGCCAGACAAGCATGACAAACATGGATTCTTCCAGACCCAGACACTTTTACAGTTGATAGCAAGATCATTTGAACAATCGCGGAAATATTGCCGATAGTGGTGTTGGCGATCAGATGGATCATCATGGCTTTGAATCGTCCGGGTTATATCAAACAGGTCATCCCACTTCAGCCCTTCCGCCCCTGCATTTCCCTGCCGGTGTTTGTTCCAAGGTGTCCTTTAAAAGCAAAGCAGGGACAACAGCAGCACTTTCCGGGCGCGCGACGGCGGGTCCCGCTACTGAGATGATGATGCCCTGCTACGACTACCTTGCGGCCGCAAATTCAGCAAGCGAAGAGCTTCTCGTGCTACCGCAGCTTCTGCGGGACATTTGCGGTGAAGCAGCCGCGTCTGGTTCTTGTGCACCTTCATACAACTCGTGGTCGGGTGAAGATAAGACGAACAGTGCCTCCGGCACCAAAGCAGCAGCTCGAGAAGACGAGCCGCAGCAGCTTTTTTTCCAGTTTTTGCAGAAAATGCTGCAGAAAAAGAAGGAAACCGAACTGAAAACCCGTGTGACCGACCTGGAAGCAAAACTTGCGCAGAAAAAACAGGAGAAGGCCATGCTAGCCGAGATGGAAGAGTTTATCCTGAGTAAAAACATCCCCACCCCAGAGTCAACATGGGGATTTTGCAACACAAACCTAGAACTTTTGGAGGTCACGCATCAGAAGTTGCGGTACGCAGTGTAGTGCAGGTTAGCAGGGAAAAACGCATCACAAATCCATCTGCTCATCCTGGTTACAGCATTACAAATGCCAAAACACCATTAGAAATGCCTCTCATGAAGATGCGCATTACAAATGTTTCTGTCATTGCAAATCTGCATGACAACTCTGGGGTGGGGACGTTTTTACAAATGAGAGAGTTACGATTGGAATTGCAGCAGAGTCGGAGATATCAAATGCAAAAATGTCTGGGTCTGGAAGGTCACAACTTGTGATGCTGTCTGTGGATTCCAAAAAAAATTGTGTTGCATGACCAGCAAGTGGGGTCGGGTTTGTCCTACGTGGAGAGAGCATTTCTCATGCGGTAGAGGTATCACAAAGCCCTCTAAAAATCTGTGATGCTACGGCATGCATCACAGACATCATGGCTCATGGAAAATATGCACGACAAATCTAGAAATCTTCCAGACCCAGACATGTTTGCATTTGATAGGAGACACGCCCTAGCTGTGGAGAGACGGTTGCGGCGGTTGTAGAGGCAGATCGACGACTTGTGTGTGCAGCAAAAAGGGGCGCGCCTCATGTACACAGCCAACTAGACCTATCGTATGAGTTTTTTCTTGAATTCTCCAGCATGCGGGGAATATTTCTGAGAGCCACGGATGGATCTCGAATCGTAATCGACTTGCATTGTTTTTCATCATCCGAAAAGATATCTTTACACCGAACGAAGACACTCAGCGATGTTGATAGGCAGCCACCCGTATTTTTAACTTTGTCAAATACAAATATATGAAGCGGACGAAATACATTCCATTTGTAACGAATATCAATCAACACCTCAGTTTCGTCACCGCAAAATTCATTTTCTTTTGTCTCTTTTAGCGTCGCATGAGTTTTTAAGTGCGAACATCTTCGTCGGTCCGAAGGAATATCGAGTTTAGTGTGAATTTGCGTTTTAGCTGCAAAGAGTCCGCTCCTGCTTTGGCGTTTTCTTTGAAACCAGTCTTGGCATATAGGAGTCTGACTAATTTGTTGCATATAATTGCTGAATATCCTAATAAAAGTGAAATGCCAAAGAAGTGAGTATAAGGAAACATTGCGTTTGTGATATCCAGCCAACTTTTTAAATAACTTCGAAGTGTCAGTATCCAGTAAAAGTGCCTCCAATCTTTACTCGGAACGAAGCTGCAAAAGCTTTCGAATCCACCGCGTTTCAACGGTATGATTGATTTTTTCAACAGTGAGTAGAAACATTAATTAAAGAATCCAAAATCTATGCGAGGAAAAGTCAATGTGACCATTGCCGTTCACAACACCTCGTCTACTCCGCCCTGGAATTCAGGTGCTTCCGCGGTGCTTCCGCGCACTGTTCGCTTTGGTAGGAAGGCCACATCGTCCAAACAGAGGCTAATGGTCCTGAAGTCCGGCATAGATTCATAAATTGACATGCACAAAGGAACATCTTCAACAATGATGTGTGTCGTGGGCGGGGCCTCGTTCGTCAGTCCTCTGTGTATAAGCAGTTTACCGTAGTAGAAATCAGCTGTCGTTTGCGTATGGTTCTATCGAACATGTCACGACGGGCGTGCGTCGTCGTCGTGGTCTCAGAAAGTATACGTATTAGCAGGGTATAATCGTGGAGGTCGTCTAAGTCGCTTTCGTTCCACTTTCATGCGCAAGCAGAAATATCGTTCCTGTATATCAATACCAAGGTCGTCGACGTGGTAGCTTTCGTTCTAGCGGCGGCATCACCACTCTAAAAACGTGCCGTACTCCTTCGTCGTGGCTCTTCGTGTAGTCGTGGAGACCTGCTAAAAGGCCCCGCATCGTAGACGTTTAGACCACTAATGACATGAAAACAAACGTCGTGTCATAATTTCTGCAATGATTAAACATCCCGAACAGGCAATAAAAACGTCATCAGTTGTCTGCTGTTGCGCGGATACACTTCGTAGGTCGAGACTTTCGAAAACTTCAGAAACACAATTAGAAAGCACAAGAAACGTAATCGCAGTTCGCGGCTCGTTTAAAATCCGAAAACCTAAATTTTACCATATAAGCAAAGGGCTTTCAGTTTCACGCTCGGCACCAAAGGGAGTCCAAAAAGAAATGGCGGCTTCGCAGGAAGTGAAAACTGGCGCCCCTGAGGCGGGCGCGGTCCTGGAGCAAACCGAGAAGATGGCCATGTCGCCGGCCAAAGAAGCGGAAGCGTAATATTTTTGCACTTAGATATATTTTTAGTGTTGCTATCTCGACCTTGGCAAAGAAACTTGGTTGTCCTGCATCTGTGAGGAGAAGTAAGTAGACGGAGTTCCATTGAGTTCCCCTGTGGGCGGATGAAGCGCTACTCCAAGATGAGTTTGAGTCTAGATGTAGTTAGATGAAATCGAATCTTCTTGATGCAGCTGCGTCACAAGTTCAAATACAAATTCAAAACTCAACTCCAGGTTGTTCGCGAAGCAACAGGAGTCGCAGCGTTTGGTCAACGCGGAAGCGTACGGAGCCTGCGACCACCCGGCTGACGACAAGTTGCTGGCGAAGAAGGCTGGACTCCTCGGTGAGGACCATGCCGCTCCAGGGATCAAAACCCTGTTGCGCAAGTTCGTCTTCCAGGTCTTGATTTTCGTGCTGGTGACCGCCACGATTGGCCTGGGCTTGCAGGTTTTGTTCCTGGTGCCGCAGCCGTTCGGCGACCAAGTGGGTATGTATTTTATTTATATATACTTAGTAGTTAGATGTTCATGTTCTTGATGTTGGGTTCTCGTGTTATCTATGTTCTCGTGTTATGTAGGTGTTGTGTATGCGTTCTTCTTCTTGTTACTTATCTGGGTTGCTGTGGTTGTTTAAGATCAAGTGAGTGGCTTCCCGCCGATATTGTACCGCTTTCACTGCAGTCATATTACCTATGATGTGCACCTGTGCCTGCGGGCCGAAGCGCATTCGGCGCGCATCTTTTTGTGGGTCGTACAGCGTGGCCTGAGTTGTACTTGTGCATCACGCGTAAGTTGAATCGCGCGCAGTGAATATTTCTTTGGCCGCACACAAATCAAATTACATACAGGCTGGTCCACGTCTTGGCCGCTAGTCGGGGAGTCGAGTGCGGATGATGGGGCTGCGGTGCCTGCTTCTTTCATACAGGCCGGCGCAGCCTCCTGCCTTTCGAAAACAGAAGCAGAAGGCTACTACGAGCAGTGCGGGTGCGCAGAAGGCTGGAAACCCGTCGGGGGTTCGAGCACTGCCTGCTACAGGCACACGGCGGGGCCCTTATGTTCTTGAAAAGAGTTTCGCTCTCCGCACTGCCAAGGTCCAGCAATGTCGGCCAGACGAAATTTTCACTAAATTAGCGCTGTCCCGTTTCGTAAAAAAGGAAACGTATAGACGGACGGAGAATTGCGCAGCCCATCCCCATTAAAATCGTGGCTAAAGCTAGAGCAGTGAGTTGTCTTGTATTGATCAATCGTGTTACAAGACGCCTTGCAGATTACCGCTCTGGATCGAATGGTGCATCGCTGCATCGAAAATTTCGTCTGTACTGATGTGCGAAGCATAGAATGATGTTAGCTTCGTTCGTCAAAACGGGAAGTAGTGCGCTAGCGCAGCCATCGCCTTTCTCAAGGGAGCGAACTTTTTTCAAGGTGATAGCTAGGTGGAACCTTCCCGAACTCGGCGGAAGCCTTGGGCGCCAAGTGGCAGTATGCCGAAGACTTAGTAAGCGGAAAGGCCGGTGGATGCCCTGTCCAGATCAAGATCCCGTTCAACGGCGGCACTGTGCAGGCGGCTTGCCAATGGTTTAACGGTAGAGAGTGCCACTGCAATAACGAGTAATACTTTTTATTATTTCTCAAGGTCGTCGTTGGACCTGGTCCTGTTATCTGTTGATCACATACATTTTCAATGCTACGACGCCATCTTTTTTGTTTGTAAGTTCGCATGATCTTCATCTTCTCCACATAGAACACGAATAGTAAGCGACGAGAGCATAACCTGCCGAATGCAGAGGCTTGAGAAGATGTTCGACCCCGATTGGTCGAAGGAGTACGCTAACATGTAAAAGTGTATTTTTCCTTTGACTGCACTTTTCGACACGACTCTTGCGAATACGCACAACTAGTCGCACAGCAAAATAAAGCACGTCTACTCAGCGTCAGCACGACATTATCAGGAAAACAAATACAAAGCAAGTCCTTTTTTCGAGTTTCTTCACCTTTCTTTCATTTTGCTCGCTCTTTGCTTTGCAACGTAAATACGCGCCAAGATGATTTTCTTTCGAATAGCCACGGCTGACGAAAAGGTCCTGGCGCCAATTCTTTGCATTGCGATATTGAGGCCTTTTGATGTTTTAAACCTTTAATAAAACCACGAGCACCACCAACCCAGCATCATTAACTCAGTTTCATGAACCTATCATCACCAACCTAGCACCACCAACCTAGCACCACCAATCAACCTAGCATCACCAACCTAGCACCACCAACCTAGCATCACCAACCTAGCAAAACTAACCTAGCACCAGCACCAACCCAACACTACCAACCCAGCAGTTTCGATTTATTTTGACAAAAGCGGTACAGGAACATAAGTAGGTAGCCCCAAACATGATCACCCCTGGAAGTAGACCGAAGCATAGGTAGCCCCAAACCCAACTCCCCACCCAACCCACAGAAGACCGGGTTGAAAGAAAGGCCGACACCTTATCTTATCAACAAACCCGAAGAACCCATCACGACCTCATCTCTTGCAAGAGATACTTCAACACAAGAAAGCGTTTCTTTCGTGGTCCCCCCGAGCGAGGGTGAAATTCCAATGCAGTGCGGCGAAGATAGCACTGTGCCGAAGGTCCTCGTACCTGCGCAGTGCAGCCTGGCGTTTCAAGTTTACTGGACTTGTGTTCGAAGCAACGCTTTTTGTCCAAGTACTTCGCCGTCGAGAGGAGGAGTGATGTAGTTGTCACGTTCTTGTTTATCTATCATGCCGCCCTTTTTAAGCTACTCTTTCTTACTACTTGGTTCGTTTCTTGCGACAAGGAACTGCTTCAAGAAAATGCAAACTGCCCTGGTCAAGGTCAACACCACGACGCCGAGCTGTAAATGACGCAGCGTCGTCGTCTGATCTGTGTCTGTCCAAAGAGAGAGAGAAAAATGAGGCCACCTCTAGCTGCGGGCAGTTCGCCCCCGGTTCTTTTATTCGTGTCTGTGCTCCTTTGGCTCCAAAGCCATTTTTTCCAGTCGGTATTTTTCGTTTCCGCGGACGGGCTAGGAAATGTAAAAATGTCTGGGTCTGGGAACTTGTGATGCTGGGCAGCGTCTCATGATGAGGCTACAAATGCTGGCTCAGCATGACAACTTTCTGAGCTCCTAGGTGTTGCCTACTCTGCATGACAAACTGCGCTTCTGCATCACACAAAAGCGCAGCTCTTGGGTAACGGGCATGACAGATTTAAGAGTCATGCCAGACAAGCATGACAAACATGAATTCTTCCAGACCCAGACATTTTTACAGTTGATACGGGCACCTACCTGATCGACCGGTGGGCGTTTCGGTCAGCTTTCCGCTGAAGCACACGGCCCACGGGGGCGATCCGTCCCTCCCGCGGAAAAACCACCACGAAAAGCGGGACAAGCACCACTACGAGCACGCCCACGAAGCAACGTTGCAGTTACCAAATGCAAGTACGTCTGGGTCTGGAAGGATCCAACTTGTCATGCTGTTTTTGGATTCTAAAAATATCTGTGTTGCATGAGCAGCAAGAGGAGTCAGTTCTTGGCACGCGGCGAGGGCATTTCTCATGCGTAACTAGCATCAAGAAGCCCTCGAAAAGTCTCTCATGCTAGCACCAGCATCACAGACCTCACGGGTGATGCAAAATGTGCATGACAGCCCCCGACTCTTCCAGACCGAGGCATACTAATTTGCAGTGCATAGCAGTCCACCGGTCACGATATGCATCGAAAATGTGAAGATGTCTGGGAGGTCCTCTGCGTGGGAATACTTGTGGTGCTGCGCTGTCGCTGTGGCTGGTCCTGGTGAGTCAGATGAGGCAATTTCTAGACAAATGCAGCCAGGCATGAGACGGCCAGTGGACTTAATAGCCGAATTGGACATCGTAGTGCGTATTCGCTGTTCTTGGTCATGTAGTACTGTAACAGATTCTACTACAGAAATTCAATACGGCACGCGGCAAAAAAGCAGGTAGAAATTCCACTTCTTTTCCCGCCCCAGATGTTGACACATTTGCCTTTGATGCAAGAGTATGAACTGCAAAAGCATCGTACTAGTATAAATTGCAACGCAAATTGACTTAGCATTACAAATGAAATTTGTAATGCGGATTTCACTCAGGAAAAAAATTTGTCATGCATAAAAGCGATTAGTACGAGTACGATACTTTTGCACAGGATAAAGAGATCGCGCAGCCAATCGGGGTGGCAGGGAGAACCGCGGTGCAGACACACGTCGCGGCAGCGTATCAAATGCAAATACTTATGTCTGGGTCTGGAAACTTGTAATGCTGAATGGTCATGATTGACTGCGCCTTTAAGTGCAGTGTAGCATGACAAATCCCATGCGCAGAGGGCATTACAGACTGCACTTTTGCATAGCGAAAGTGTGGCACTTTATTTGCTGCTTGTGCAATACAGATTTTTTAGATATGCGAAACACGCAATACAACAGGTTCAACTACCATTCCAGACCCAGACAACATATTTGCATTTGATACAGCGCTCGGGCCGCTGATATCCGCGAAACGGGTGAGTGCTACGAAGAGTACAGATGCAGATGTGTCGAGCGTGGGAGACCATTCGGGAACAGCTGCAGACTTGCAGCAGAAAACGATGTCTGGAAGCGGGCCTTTGAGTGCAGGAGCTTTAGTGGACCCCGCCGCCGCCAGTGGTGCTGCACAAGAAGGGCTATCTTCACAAAACCCCGCGCCGTCTCCAGCGGCTGGACACCAGGATGAAACAGGTAGGACTCATGTTCTTGCACAACCTGGCGACGGTGCACCACAACTACTGTCAGAACTAGATACGAATACGAAACAAGAGGGTGACGTTGCGAAGAACGAGAGGTCTGGCAAGGTGCTTTTGCAGCCCGGAAGTACTAGAAGTACCCCTCCTACAGCGGTCGGCGTCACAACGCCGGAACAATGGTCGCCGCAAGGAGCCACATCTCCAGCTTTCCCAGCGACGCATATGCAATGCAAAAGCATCGTACTCGTATAAATGCATTACAAATTTCCTCAGGATGGGATGAAACGAAATTTGTATTGCTGATTTACCTTAAGAAAAAGTAATGCATGATTGCAATTACTACGAGTACGATACTTTTGCACAGCATAACGCAGCAACACGTACAAAACGCAAAACCCGGGGCACCGAACGCCGCCACAGATCGTGCAAGGGCACCAGACACCACCGCCGGCGCCGTGTCTTCCTTCGCGGAGCTACCGCTAGTATCAACTGCAAATATGTCTGGGTCTGGGAGATGGGCGAGATTTGTCATGCTAGTCTGGCATGACTCTAAACTCTGTATTGCGTGGTCGCGCACAGCTCCTCAAAACTGTGTTTCAAAAACGCAGTTTCTCATGCGAAGTACGCAACTCAGAACCACGGAAAATCTTGTCATGCTTGGCAGCGCATTACAGTGTGCTCACTAGTATTCCCTTTGTTGCATGACAAGTTTCCAGACCCAGACATATTTGCAAGGCATAACTAGTGTCGCGGAAGGCAGTTGGTGAAGATTCGACACTGGAGACGGAAACGCCGGCAAGTACTACGAAGCCAACCACATCGGAAGACACTGGCCTGTTGGTGTCGGAGGAGCAGCAACCCGTCGCGAAAACGACCGAGGACCAAAAGGAAGCACCTGGTGCTGCAACATCACCACCTACCGAGGAAAATAAAACCGAAGTTGTGACGACGTCCGCGGCTGCTGCTGCACCTGAAACTGCTACTGCTACTACAACAGCTCCTGCGCCGGCAGCGGACGCGACGAGTCCAGGTGCAGCAGAAGCAGTAGCAGCCGTCGTGACGGCCGCGCCACCAGCACCGGCTGTCACGACGGCGGAGCAAGAGGCCGCAGCCGGGGCGGGTCGAAGTCCTCATGTTCTTCCCGTTATAACAGAAGGTAGTTCATCTTCTGCAGTTTCTCAGGAACTCCAACCAGGCGAACAAGCCGGAGCGCCGGCAGTCACTTCCAGCGCTACTCGGGCCGCGGAAGCACCCGCTGCGGAAGCACCCGCTGTGGAAGCAGCGGGAGCAGCCACTGTAGCAGCTGGACCAACATCTTCCTCCGCCGAAGCTGTAGCCACGACTTCCGCGCCGGTCGTTGTACTAGCGCAAGAAGCAGCACCAGCTCCTGTGCCGGTTGTTGGACTAGCGAAATCTGCCGAGGTGGAACAAGCAGCCGCTGCGCCGGCGGCCGCGGCTGCACAAACAGCCGAAGAAACAACAAGCGCTAGTAGTGCCGCTGTTGTAAGAACTTCTGCGGCGCCACCAGTGATTGATGCTACTGCAGCGCTGGAGCCCGCAACTACTCCTGGGGCGACCGCTGCCGCTTCCGAAAGCGAGCCGGCCTCGGCGCCGAACAGTCCTGTCGACCCGAAGAAAAGCGATCTTTCCAGCAACATCGCGGCGGTCGTCCAGAAGGTAGAGGCTACGGAGAAGGCCGCATTGGCGCAAGTGGAACACGCGTTGGGCGCCGAGAAGGCGTTTGTGGGGAAGTTAGTGGAAGAACACAGCAGCCCCGCCCCGCCACCGGCCACCTCGGAGGCGGCTTCCTCGAGTGGCGGTGGGAAAGCAGCGCCCGTGCCCATCAAAGACGAGGACGTCGCCGAAGCTGCGATGCTGAAACAGCACGAGACGACGGTTTGCGCCGACGACCCCGTGTTCAAGGATTCGCAGGGTATTCGTATAATTGGTTGCCAACTTTTATATGCTGTCACAAAATACCAAACGCGCATTTTCGTTTTTCGATTTTTTCGTTCAAAAATGAAAAAAACATTTTTCAAAATTGCATTCGCAAGCCGCATTCTCGAGTCGCCGCCCTGCCCCTCTTCGCCCGGCCGCCAGAACACTCCTACCGAGCACCTGAATGGTAAGGTTTTTGCTATGGACATCATGTAGTTAACTGAATGGAATGCTAACTAGCTAGTGGTGCACGCGGCGGCGTTTCCACCCGGTGGTGAATGGTTACGGTCCGGACCAAAACCGTAACCTTTCGGGCGGTCGTGCAGGGGATGACGCGGGTTTCGCATGGGATAGGCGAACTTCCAAACGGGTGAGCGAACCCGAACGGCCGACCGCATACGCACGTCCGTGACGCGCACACGGGGTCTGGATTGGGATTGCGGAGCGAATGTGAGCAACTGCGTGCGAGCATGGAGTTAATGTTGATCGGCAGCCCGAATCCCCTCTGCCGCTCAGTGTTGAAAGAATAGTAGGTGGCGTGCGGTGGCTCATGTCAGCGAGCTGCTTGTGCAATCTCTGATCAGTTCGGAGTCGATGTTCTTTTCCGGGCTTCACAAGGTTCCAATCGATCACGATGCGATCTTGCGAGGGGTCTTTGCACAGATCTCCTAACAGTGCCGGTTTTTGGCGGCCGTGGTTTTTTATTTCGGTTAGCCACTGTCTTGACCGTCTCCCGCTCAGGCCCTTGGCGCAGATGCTTTCACTGTCGCCAATTGCAGCTGCATCTTCGCACAACAAGTTCAAGTATGTCCGTGGAGTCGTCTCCAATAACTTCAACCTCCCGAGATGCCGGCTTGCCGTAGTTTGGTGCCCGGAGCGTAGCCCCATTGAGGGAGAGGCTTCTGGCCATGTCTGCGCTCGATCAAAGCAGCCTGGACGACGAGCTGCAACGCGCAACACTAACGACACCAGCAGAAGCCGTTTTTTTCTTGAACAACTTCGCTGAGCAACACGGCGATGCGCTGAAAAAGCGGCGGAACAAAGCAACTGTGTCTGTGTCACAGTTCCGAAAGGTGCTGAACGAGGAATGGGGGTCCACGAAGCTACATTTCACCCGCATCCAGCAGTCGGTAAAAAAATTCATCCTCCACCGGTACGACACCGTCAGCGAACTGGTCGCACAACCTCCGGCTCCTCCGGAGCAACCAGCTGCTCCAGCAGAAGCCGAGCTCCTTGAAGTAAGCCCGCGCGGCGACGCGTGGTTCGAGAATGGGCAGCAAGATCAGGACTCCCCCCTCCTACCAGGCAACGAGGCTCCCCCGCCGCCAAGGCAGCGGAAGAAGCATTGGGCCTACGACCGCGACGCCCTCGTTCAGGAGGTCCAGGAGATGATGGACACGCTCAAAGCTGACGGGGCGGTATACCTTCAGTGGGCTGTCGCAACGCAAGCAGGCAGTTCGATGACGCGGGCAAGGTTGCTGGAAACGTTTCTCACCGGCCAGAACTCGCGGAAAAAGAGGAACGTCCGCCCCGTGTCAAATAGTGCCCGCGGCGACGGGGCCGGCGCGGATGATTTCGAGGCTGAGGTGAAAGCAGCAGCTGCGATGGGTGAGGGCGGGTACATGAAGATGATGATGATAAGACATTCGCGTTTGTGCTCGTGATCCTGAAAACAGTGCTGCCACCACCTTTGTCAAACTGCTCGGCAGGATGACCGAGCTACCGGTCCTGCGCCCCAGTTTCCCCATGGTAAAAACAGGTTTGTCGCCATCACCGGACATCGCGGCCAGACGGTTTTGGATGAGAGCCTGTCGAGTAGCCAGTACGAGGAGGCGGCGAAACTGCTGCGCGCGGATGCTCAGAAAAACGAATCGCGGGCCAAGATGTTCATTCTTCGCGCACAGCGAGAGGTCGCGGGACTTTTGCTTTTGCGGGACGAGCTTGAGGCCTCCGCCTTCTACCGGCAGTTCATCACGGATTCTATCTTGTCCAAAAATCCCCACAAACATGGCACCGCAGCTGCTCGAGGTAGCAGGCATGATCGGGCCACGCACTCTGTTTTTGTCATGCGTAGCGCCTCCTGACAGGGCGCCATGAAGGCTTTTACTGTCAGGCGGGGCGAAGACCCTGAGGAGGCTTGTTTGTGGAGCAGCAGCAGCTGCAGGGGTAACTATGCGCAGCTGCTGCTGTGCGATGTTTGTGGGGATTTTGGTTGGGATATCACTCCTCTCGCTCGTGGGGGGCTTCGCAGCGTCGCTGGACCGTGGCGGAAATGTTGCTTCTCTGCCACCTTCCTCATCGTCATCGGCATCTTCGTCGTCGGTTTTCCCACCAGCAACTCGGCCGGTTTTTCCTCGGGCCAACCCCGTAGCGCCACCGGATCTCGTCTTCGAGTTCCCAGCCGTCAATATTCGTTGCGGTATCATCGTGAGCGTCTGCCCTCTCGAAATAAATCAATGGTGATGATGACACACAGTAGTGAGCTTGTTGCGCCTGGTCTTGTTGGCGGCGAGCTAGGGGTGGGAGGACTTTTTTATCGTTGCAGCCCCAGCTAGTCGGTTTGGCGATTAGAAGTAACAAATGAACTCCTGGCCATAAACAAAATCAGTTGCCTGCATCTTCACCCGCATTTCTCCGGACGCGACCTGTTTCACTTACAAGAAGCTGCTGAACGTGGAGTGTGTTCTGCTGTACACCACAACAAACGGGGGACCTTCGGGAGCGGAAAACACGCGGTCATATTCCAGGCGGGTTGTTCCAAAGCCCTTCGTGGTGTCCGGTGGAAGTGAGAACGCGGTCCAGGATGTCTACCGGGCGCTCAAGCATCTGCACCTCCCTGGTTCTTGTGCCGGCCTCGGCTACCATGTGAGCGTCATCATCTGGGTCACCGACAGTGCCAGCGATGTACTTCTTGCCGGCAGCCGTCTTTATCAACTCTGCCGCGCGGTGACGGCGGCGTGCGGCGCAACACTTTGGAACAGCCCGGCCCAGCTGGGCGGGGGAGCTTTTCTCGCTGGCAACGCGAGTGCGCCGGCTGCGTCCTCGTCTTTTACAAGCTCCAGTAGCTCCGCGGTGATGCCGTCCAGTTCGATCAAGCATCCGTTCCGCGCCAACGCGGAGTGCCTCCTGCCGTTCCTGATGGTTATTCTCGTGTGCCAGCTCCATCAGTACGACCTGCTGGCGGGGTCTTTGATCACGCTTGGCGCCGCATTGTACAGCGAATTCGTCGCGGCCCTATCCTCCATCCAGATGTGCCTCCGGACACGAAAATGGTTCGTGGAGCATGCGCGGCTTCCGCAGCCGGTTCCACAGCAGTGGGTGAAAACAAGGTGGATGAGCTTGGACCCTTTTTTGCAGTACCTGCAGGCCAATCGCGACGTCGTGTCCTCCATGTTCAACACATACAAAACCAGCCCGGAGCGGAAGGCGGAACAGGATGGCGCCCACAGCGGCCGTGGCATCAAGGCTACTGCCTCGGAGTTTTTCTGGATAGCGGCCCGGGCCCTTGCACCTGTTGTGGCCTTTGTTCAGTGGCAGAGTGCGCGGGTTTGCAAGTTCGGGGCGGCACTGTCTAGTGCGGTCAAGGCCACGGACCTCGTTCGCATGGCGCCACGAGCACTTGCGGGCGCCGAGTGGATGTTGTTGATGGAGCAAAATCAGGACTTGATCCGAAACGCCCCCATTCGCCGCGCGACCATGCTGTTCCTTCTGGCCTGCAAGACCATTTTCAGCGGCCGAACTTTGCAGCTGCGGAGCTTTCCGTACCTGTTGGTTTTTTTGCTCGGCGAGGTCGACTCGTCCGGAGGCGTACAGAGGTCCGACCTCCGCCCACGCCAGATGGCACAGCTGCTGCTCGGGATAGACCGGGCGGAGCAGGAGTTGGACGACTTGTCGCTGAGCTTCAGGGAGTCGTACCGCGAGGAGCTCCGGCTGCTCGCCGCCGGAAAGGAGCCGGGACCGGTTTGGTGGTGGTTTGCAGTGCCGTTTTTGGTTTCCCTTCTTCGCCAAATCCACCCGGCGTCGCAGGGCGCCGAGTCGCAGCACTCTGTCTTGATGCACCAGCGGCGCGAAGGGTGTGGGCGGTCAACTGCCGAACACGTCGCGGAAAAGTATTCACTTCATGTCCCCCCGGCCGCACGGTGGCATCGTTAGTTTTTACTTCATCTGGATGCATTCATCAAAGTACACCGGCGGTGGGGTTTCGACCTGCGGGTCCCGCCGGCGAATAAGTAAGTAGTAGCAGTTTCCACCCATCCCTCCTCTCCTGACAAGAACTTTTTTGGTGTGCCGCTCCCTTTCGGCGGCCGGTAGAGCAAGCACTAGTCCCATTGATCATCCACACACCATCTCGCCCGCAAAACACCATCTTCACAGGACCAAGATTGCGCTCGACCGTGGGTTGCCGTACGACGAGTACAAATGCCTCCGCGCCGAGCAGAAGCATCGAACAGATGGGCGGTTGTCTCACAACAAAACCAAAAAGCGGGCAGTATGCGATCCGCCCCCCCGCCACACCCAGCCACGAAAGCGCCTGGGAAATCAGCATGACAGATTGCATCGCAGATTTGCAAGGTGCCACGCCTGGGCTTCCTGCGTTCACTCAACGACTTATTTTGCATGACAGATTGGCAGAGGGACAAAGGCAGCAAAGACCATGGTGGTGGCCATGACCTTTGTGAGAGCCCTGACAGTAAGTTGAGCCCCGACAGCGATATCCATAGATGAAGGGGTCTCTGCTGGCATATGCAATACAAATTGTGTTTGTGCCCGGCCTGTTCTGGTACCTGTGTCACGAGCAGGAGCTGTAGTGTGGCGACCGATATGTAATGCAAGAGCCCCACCAATGAATTGAGATCGACTGCGCAATTTGTCATGCGTGAAAGAGGCCGGCCTATAAGGACCTGCATATTCTGGAAAACGTCCTTAGAGGCCGATCTCCGCCACGCATGACAAATTGCGGATATCCACAAAAACTGACTCTGGGTGGCTGTATAGGGCTGGGTGTGTTTTTTCCTTGGATAAATGCGTGTGGCTGCCGAAAACACCAGTGAAAACGACGCCGGGCTGGATGCTGAAGATGAGGGACTCCGGGACGCAGTTTTCGACTACGCCTTCGACCCGACGGTTGTGGAGGAGAATATAAAAGCGGCAGAGAGGTTCGTGGACGAGCGGTGGGAAAGGGCAGTCACCTTAGCCGACGACCTGGAGATCCCACCTCCATCTGCTGAATTGCTTCCGCACCACTTTAAGCCTTTCGGGAGCGCCATAAAGATCAGCGAGTATCTTGGGCATGGCCATGACGGTAACCCGGCCTCGCAGGGGCTGGGAATGTTGCTGCGGTCGGAAGCAGACAAAAAAAACCAGCAGGCCTGGCTGGTCTTCTTCATCAAGCCGGGCAATGCATTGATCAACCGCTGCACCCGCATGCCCGCATCGGCTTATTCTTCGAACAACAGCTCCTCCGCGCGGAACGGCCCCTCCGGTGATAGTCACGGCGGGTCTTCATCATCATCCTCATCATCGTCTTCTGCTCCCGCTCGCGCGGACCTGCTGCAACCAGACCAAGGAGTCAAGGCAGCATCAGACGAATGTTACAAACTGGTGCCGGGGGAGTGGAAAAGTCTGGGGAGGTGGGCGGAGGATTATCTGTGCAGCAGCAACCGGAAGGTCACGAACATTTCCTTCGAACGCGTCACGCCGTCCTCCGTCTTACTGGAGGTTCATGCCGTCGCCACTGCAGGTGGTCTGCAAGGAAGCAGCAGTGTCGGCCCCGCTCTGGATGCCTGCGACCGGGAGTTGCGGGTGCGGGTATTAGGTGGTCTATGTATTGAGAGTGGGGCAAATCACCGCAATTGCTGTCACGCCACACGGTGGAGTTCTAAGATCAGCAGGGTTATCTCTTAGCTGGCGCGGTGGTCCAATTTTGCATGACAAACCAAGTTCGGACTTTGCATGACAGATCATGATCAAGGAGGCGGCGACTTTTGCATGACAAACCAAGCTCGCGCCGCAGCGGCAATTCGCAAGAACGCCCGTACGCATGACAAACACGCGCTTGAGGTGTTGGGAGGATCTCCTTGGGCGTGACAGCCTGTTGGGTGTGTCGCCCCATTCTTGGGGTGGATAAGTCTTCGGGTCGAGCGCAGTTTCCCGCCACCAGGTCGATGTTATTGCTGCGCGAGAACCCAGAAAGGAGGCAGAGTTCGATCCCGGGGCGGACCCCGAGACACGGGAGCAGGCGGAGCGGGAGCGCAAGGCGGACTCGTCCTGGAGGTACTTCCATATTTTGACTTTTCAGCGAAAGTCATTCGTCGATGAGAACAGGGGATAAAAATAACAATGCATGACGCCACAGCCTAAAAGTGCTACTGTCGTTCTATCCTTCTCGCCTGGTCCGCATGCTACGCTCATGATCTGACTCGTTCTCTATACATAAAAGGCGAGTTTTTTCCTGTGTGGCAATTGCAATCCGGTGCAGAATGCCGCTCAGCATGACAAGCCGTGCTTTTGCTTTATGTCAGTAGTTCTTTTTGGGCTTAACAACGCACAACACGAAGTAAAGTTGCTGCGTTTGCCCTATCCGCCTCGCCTGGTCCGCGTGCTATGCTCGAAATCTGTCTAAGTCTGTAGGTCGCTTGTCGTTTAGAGAAACAAGCGCGGCATGCTGCGATGGCCCCTTGTGCAGGCGATTCTTTTGAATCGCCTATCCGAGGGGGCTCGGCAGCATGACAAGTTCGGGCTTCGGGCCCACTGCAAGCCCAGCTGCGGTTTCTCGCCCTAAAGTGCGAGCATCCGGGAAGATTGCCCGAAAATCCTACGAAATCGTCGAAAGCAGCATTACAAAACGCGCTTTCGGCGAGTCGAATTATTGGAAGTGCCCCCGTGTTGTTTGTTTTGCCCCAGCCCCGCCTGCTGGGAAGCAACTTGCAAAAAGAGATAATTTCCCAGCGCGCACGTTGTGCCTAATCATCACGCACTCTTGTCCATATGACAGGTCTTTCAACGTCCGGAAACTGGTTCCGGAACTAGCGCAGACCGGGCTCCGGGAGTACAATTTCTACTGCAATTTCTGCCCGTTCAATCGGTCCTGGCGCGCACACCTTCCGCTGAAGTACCGCAGTGAAGCTGCCCGCGCCGCCCATGAAAACCGGGTCGCAGCGAGCAACCAGCCAGCAGCCGCGAGAAGCCAGGCCGTGGTGAAGTGCGTGACAAAGGTTGCTGCGTCCTTGGAGATGAAAGACATCTCCAAGGCCCGAAAGGCCTGGCTGAAGAAGGTCGGAAAGTTTCTTGACGAAGAAATCAGCGACCCAGCGGAGGCCGAAGAGCGGCGCGCGCAAGAAGAAATGCAGCGGTTCATAAATGCGAACGTTCCGAATGAACCCGCTGTGGCGCCAGCGTGAGAGGGCCACGCGGGCTCTGAATACGGCAAAAAAAGAGATGTCCGTCTTCGTCGTGCCGGTTCGTATTTTTCGAATCGAAAAATATAAGCGTTTTTTTTTGAAAAGTATCTGGATAATTCGCAGTCCTCGTTGGAAAAATGAAAATTCCATTTTCTTGGCGTGGTTCGTGAAAATCTTGTGCATTTTTCATTTATTTTTCCTCATATTCTTCTGATCGAAAAATCCAAAGCTCCACGCTACTGCTCGAAACCAGAAAAGATCATCCGTTTCGTCTTCCCTTTTTGCGTGTGTGGTGTTCTGGATCTTGTTCGTGGCAGTGTTTTTTTCCCCTGTCCCTATCCAATAACCAATCACTTTTGACGCAGTAGCAACTTCTCTTTCGAGCAAATCGCGAAGCTTCCGTACCCGGATAAGCTTATCACAGAATGACGGACCCCCGTAACCCTATCGTGTTGCAAACCACCCCGGCCACGGATTTTCCGTCGCTGGAGGCGCAAGACCGCATTTTGCAGCGGCACGCCGTCGACCCGGTTGCTGTGACCAATCAGGCCGTGATCGACTTCGTCGAGGAAGGCACAACGGTGGTTGCACCCCGGAAGGTGCAACAAGATGATCTCGACAATTACGTGCCGCTCGACGTCAAGCACTGTGGTGCCGATGTCAACCCGGTGCGAGACCCGGACCAGCCCGGGGTCTTGAAAAACCTGGTGGAAACGGGTGGCTGGATGGCCGGCGACGGCATTAGTATAGTTCGCGCCTTTGTTTTTAGATCCACTACAGTAGTTTCGTGCGTGCAGACCTCCCGTATTCTTCTCATGTATTTCTCTTCACCCCCCCAACATCTGAAAACCGAAACTCACCTACAGTTTGGGTGTACATATTCTTGGACACGTATTTGCGCGCGCGAGGCCCGGCCGCTGGGCACCACAGCACCATCGCCATGAAGAACCTCGCCTGGGAGACCGTCGCTGCTCTGGGAATCTGTGTACTGTGTGCTTTTTGTCTTTCTCATCTTCAAAACCAAATCACCACCGAGTTTGCATTTTTCTTTCGTAGGTCATGCAAAAGACAGAGATGGGGAAGCTCTGTGCCCCATGTGAAGGTGAGAAACCAACTAGCACGCGCATCACGTTCCAACGAGAAGCATCTCACCACAACGCCATGAAACCCTACAGATCCGTATCCTGAGCCACCTCGTTTTGGACCCGACCAGATTTCGGCCCGAGCTTCTCCAGTTGTACGTGCTTTACAAGAACAACGGAAACCTGAATCTCTTGGTCACGCCCTGGCAGAAATTGTCCGGAAAGTGCCTCACTGTACGTAGATTTTTTTTCATAATTTCACTTTCAAGTATTCGGTCCAGTTCAGTAGTGAAAACGACTAACAGGGATCATTCTGATCGCGAAGCGTGTTATCATTAGGTCTACCGTTGGCTCGGTTTCGTCTCGTGTGCGACGCCCCACATATGGAGCGTGGCCATGCAATCTTCGGGGCCCGGGCGCCCATTCAAGATGGCAGCTGGCATGTCTTGGTCGCCGGGCGCGGGCACCCGCCCCGACGGCGCCCCGCCTGCTAGCCGGCCTGTTTTGGTGGGCCCCATGTTGCCACGCCAACCCGCGCAAGCCGGCCGGCGGTTTTTGTTTTCTCGGGCCCCCGCTGGTCAGCCCCGCCGCCTTCGGCCGCGCCGCGCCGCTTTTTGGTCCGCGGCCGCCACCGCGATCTACAGGTCGAGGCGCTTGGCCGCTTGGTGGCGAAATGCAAAGCCCGTTGCCACGTAGCGCAGGAAGCTTGTGGCGGATTTGTGGCCTGACATTTGCTGCACCACCGTTGGGGCGACGCCCTGGAGAATCAGGCGGGTGCAGAAGCTCCGGCGTGGTGTGTGGCTCGTGATTGCACTCGGCCGGCAGCTCTCCGGGTCGCAAGGCGTGAAGCCCTGGCGGGCCTTGCGGATTAATTTTTCGTACGCATGGTATGAGAAAGAAAAGATGGGGCCGGAAAGTTTTCCGTCGGGGGCCTCGCGCTCGCAGTGCTTCCGGAAGTTGGCGAGCGTCATAAGCGTCTCGGCGCCCGGGGCGATGGGGCAGCACGCAAGCAGCCCGCGCCCGCCGCCCCGTGCTGTTTTCGAGTCCCCTACCTGGATTTGCGTCCATTCGGGGTTGAGATCTTCCCAGCAAAGTTGGCGCACATCTGCGCCCCGTCGGCCGGTCAGGCATTGAAGGAGCCACGCAAACTGGGCGCGGAGCCCGGCGGCCTTTTTTCGCCCTGTCGAGTCCCGCAGGTGTTCGCCAAACCGCCCACAGTCTTTCATTGTCAGGGCGCCGGATTTTTCGGCGTGTTCGGCCTGCGCGGGGATTTTCTGCGCTGTTTTGCTTTTCGCCGCCTGTTTCGCCCGTGCGCAGGGTGGTTTTTTTCGTTTCTGCTTTGGTGGCGCCATTCTTTTTGCTCAAAAAAATTAAATTTTAAAAATTAGGGCCGGTGGCAGGCTAAATGTTTTAAAAAAGCGAGGCAGGTCAAGTGGTCTGATGTGTCCTATTGTGGTCCTTTTTCCTGTTGCGAAAAATTACACATGGGGGAACTCGTTTCGTTTTTGGGTGGCGAGCGTGGCACGGTCCTGGGCGTTTGGCGGGTCTCCGGCGCCATTTTGCCGGTGGGCCCCGCATTGCCTCCAAAGGGCGGGGCCCTTTGCGTGGCCCTGGGGCCCACCCCCGCCCGGTGTTGCTGCAAGATCAATAGGGTAAAGCGACAAACCGTGCTAGTTGGGGACTAGCATGGTGTTTGGTAGTTTCAGCGCTACAGATCGCAACCTGAGGGCGGGGAGAGTGGATGGAAATCCGCCGGCCCCGCGGTTGCCCGTATCCGCTTCGTTTGTGGTGGACGTAGGCCCACCCCGCCAGCCCCGCCAGCGCTACCAAGTATGCGCGCGGCGGTGGGCGGGCAATGGCCTTCCGGCAGCGCGGGGGGGCAGCATGGTTATCATTGGCGCAGGGGTAGGCAGGTCCGGGCGCGCTTATTCGGAATGCCGTCGGACCGGCAGTGGTGGATGCTTACCTTTTATTTTGCGTGAGCTTCTGAGCGCCCACGGCTCAGGTGAGTTTCCGTCTTCGATTTCGATCCGGTGCATTTTTGGACCAAGTTTCAGCCTGTTGAAGTTGATCTCACTCTATATATTGGCATTTGGAGAACATAGAAGTCGGAATTCGAAAAAGTTTCAATTTCTATTTCAATCAGCTGCGCAAGCAGTTTCTGAAGAAGAAGGAGGCTCTCGTCGCCCAGGGTCAACCGTTGCCGACCTTTGCCGACGAGGTGGCCTACGCGATCGGCCGCATGGACGGGCTGACTGAGCAGCAATACAAGACCGGGTGCTACACTGCCGAGAACAAGTTTTTCGAGCCGAACAGTGGCGCCCTGAGGGTGTTGAAGTCCTGTGTCAAAAAGGACGACCTGGAGATTTTCACCTTGTGCCACACTACTGTGCGGAGCCTGAATCCCACGCAGCTGTCCCGCGGCCATTTCGACCGCGTTTTGTCGGCCATGATCATGGCGAAGTTCCACAAGCAGTACCGCAAGCGCTTGAACGGCTTCTCTGAAGAGGAGTTGCAGCAGGTGTTCGAGTTCGCGAAGCACACCTACCCGGAGGCTGGTGACGACGGTCTCTTTTTCCACGCCGACCATTCCGAAGAGTTTGCGCGGGATTGCTGTGAGTTGATGCGGAACAGGCGTGCCGCGCAGAACGACCAGAACTCGCTCTTGTTGGAGCACGAGATGATTCATGGGGCGGTATAGTTGCATTTTTTCAAAAGTTGTTCGTAGGATGCGTCTACTCCTCCGTCGTTAGGCACATCAAGTGGGTTTTTTACTTTTCAGTCCATATAGATGTTGATGCTGGGCATTGGGCTTTTTCTTTTTTGTCCAACCCGCCACGCATGACAAATCTACCAACAAAACATACCCCCCAGGACCACTACCTGAAAGTCCACCCGGATGATTTTGGGCTCTTGTACGATAACTGGGACCCGAGTACGAAGGAGGAACAAGAGTTGAAAGCGCGGAGCAAGAAGTTTTGCTCGGAGCTGTCGGTCTTGATCAACAAGTATGTCGCGAACACCCCGGGGTGCGTCTCTGGAACCTATGAGGTAAAGACTACTCCTCTAGTTTCGGGATGTTTTTGTTATAGCCTGTCCCAGGCAGATACATACGATTATGAAACTGGCGTGCATGTTTTGAGACTTAACACCCCACACAGATATGAAGTTTTAATTTACAACTCTCGCTAGGTTGTCACCTTGCCTGCCCCCGCGACGATTGAGAAGACGAAGTTAAAAGAAAAAATGCGCGTCAAGGCCTATTACGGTGGTGAACTCGAAATGGGCGAGGTCAACAAGGTCAGCACCCCCTCGACGGTCACCAACATGATCGACGAGCGGCTGAAAAGCCTCCGCTCCAAGTACCGCGAGGCCGAGAACCAGGCGAAGAAGCAGCACGAGTCGAAGGTGACCCAGATCAAAAAGGGCCTCCGCAAAGAAGCCAAGGAACGGGAGAAATCCGAAAAGGCCGCGAAAAAGAAGAAGAGTATTACTCTTGTCGTTTTCTCGAGTACTATTTCTGTCGCCCAGTAAAAACGCATCGTCAATGACTGCAGACCCACATCTATTTTCCCGCATGGTCATATCTGAACGTCGAAACCCGCAATGAAATATCTCGCAGATAATTTGGCTGCGGCGGTTGCCGTCTCTTCGGATGAGGACGACGATGACAACCTGGGCAACATGAACTTCGAGTCCCACAACGACATGCAGCGCCTCATGCAGGAGGAGGCCGCCCGGTTTAAGGCCGCGAAGCTGTTGTACGAAAGCGAGTGCAACCGTTTGGCGGAGATCGCGAAGAAGCAGTCCTCCGAGCCGCACTCTTTGATCAAGATCCTCTCGTGGGATGATGACGACAAGCCGGTAATCGACAGCATATTTCTTTCGATTATTTCACGAAGGACGCATATTGATGTTGTGTTTTGCAGTAGTGAGAATTTGTTGCATTTGCATGAGAATAGCTGGCGATGAGAGGTAGCTGTGGTGCGTGTGTGGCCCACCATCTTTTCGCTGGGTAATGTTGCCTGGTTCCCATTCGTATAAATAATGCAAAAATCTACTGCGACAACAGGTGACGGTCCCCACGGCGAACTGCTCGATCGACCGCGGGCATTACGCGGTGGACTTCAGCGGGCCCGGAAACCTGTATGAGACCAAGACGATCATGTACGAGAACTGCTGCCTCGGAATCGCGGCCTTGCTCCCCCTCACCTGCAACAGGGACACCGGTTGTGCGTTGGCCCTGCGATTCAAGACCACGAACATTGGGCCGGACAAGTGGAAAAACAAGTTCTGCCTCGTCCCGTTTGCCATGGTAAGCGCATGGCAAATAAAGATATTCATGATGTCCGATTGAGATAATGACAAGAAATCACGTTGCTCATGGATTCGGGACGATCTCGCTTTTTTTTGTTGTAGTTGTGCAAAATGTAACATGTAAATTTCGAACAACACAGTCCTGCGGCCCGAACCCGATCACTACCTTCAATGACCCGTTGCTGGACCAGCCGAAGAAGTCCAAAAAGGTCAAATTTGCGGACGAAGTGGTGCCGAAGACCGTGAGCTTCCTCGACATGGAGTTCCTCCTCGCCGTCGAGCCGGAAGACCAGTCCTTGAAGGTCAAGGGCATCACCAAGAAGTCGAAGGACGCCCGCGAGAAGCAGATGCAGCGTGAGCAGGAGATGGTTTCCAAGACGTTGGCCTTCAGTCAGTCCGCGCCGGAGGGTTCTTCGTCTTCTTCCAAATCTTCCTCGTCCTCGTCTTCCAGCTCCACCAAGAAGTAGAAGGTCGTGGTCTTTTCTAGAAGTCGAATCGAGAACAGCGCTTCGGTAAAACTAAGAGAAGTCTTTCTGTGTCGTGACGGAGAGAGCGAGATGAGAAACCCAGCGGCTTTGATAGACGGCATAGTGGTCAGTCATTTCCTGAGTCTTCATCTTCTGTTTCTGTTTACTCTGAGACGTTGACCGTGTGGTATTGTTGCTGCTCTTTCGGTCACGTAAGACGATTGTTTTTTCCCCACCTGCACGCGCGACCGATATAAAGAGTTTCTGTTGTCTTATTTATCTTGATCTTCGTATTATTGTCATCTTCACTTCTATCCAGACGCACTTTTCTACTTTGTTTTTATTTTCTTACTCTGCTTGGCAACATGACTGCAACTTCGGCTTTTCTACACATCTGCTTTATTAGGTTTTGCTCCGTCTCTACCTCGATCTGACTGTATTGTAGTTTGCGTGCTATGTCAATTTCTTTTTTCCACCTGTCTGGTACATACAAAAACTGATTGATGGACCAACCCTGCAGTGCAACTAGCAATGCAAGAGAAACAAAATTCAATCGCTTTGGATTCTAATCATCTGGTCCACAAGCTTTGCGGACAATTCAAGGATGATGCACCTGCGTCGTAGGTCGGTGCGTAATTTGAATGGTGACTCTTGCCCAAGCGTCGTAGGTTGCCCACGGTCGCACTTCCGGCCTGTCGTTTTTTCGCGTCGTGGTTGGGTGTCGTCGTCTTTCCCTTTGTGGGCGTTGAGAGGCAGTGGAGATCGTGCTCGTTTACGGAGAAGTACGCTGAAACTCGCTCGCCCGAGAGACGGGCTCCGTCCCTTCACGTAGCAGCCACTGCCAGACATGTCGACTTGTGCGCGGCCTGGACACCATAGAAAAATAATGCTTTGCCTTTGCTCGCGTAGTCGTCCTGGCGCTAGGTGTTGGCCGCCTGGCAGCCGTGCGGGCGATCTCACTCGATTGCCCCAGGTTCCGCTCGGCGATGGAAGGCTGGGTGGCGACCTGTTTCGTGGCCGCCGAACTCCTTCTCGCGAGTACTAGTCCAGTATCCACGATGAAAATACTTTAGCCATGTGGGGAACCTAAGAGGGGTGGGCGTGACTGTTACTACCGCCTGCACGCAGGCGCGCCAGGAGTTGGAAGCTAGGTTGGTTCCGGATCTCAGTGAGACAAACGCGTTTGTATCTCCGGCGGCCTTAAAACTTTCATTTCTTCCAGTCTATGGCCGTCAAGTGCAGCTAATTTTGGTCATGCGGTTCACTTTGTCATGCAAGGCGTGTCGCCCTCGGTGGCGGTGGATAGTGGTAACAGTCATGTCCCATAGCAAGGCCCCACATGGCTATGATATTTTCACCCGGTATGCTTCCGTCGGAGCCGACTTCGCCATCAAGTTCATCGCGGAGGTACCCGTCGCCAAGATTCCGCTCTCCAACCGTGACCCATTTCGTGCTGCTGGTGCCGGGTATTTGCGTCCGTCTCCGTGTAAGTCCGGGCGCCGATTGCAGGGACGACCGCCCGAAAGGTTACGGTTTTGGTCCGGACCGTAACCATTCACCACCGGGTGGAAACGCCGCCGCGTGCACCACTAGCTAGTTAAGGAATTTACTGTCATGAGCACTCGCTCCACCACTAAAAACACTTCTTACCAGGTCGCCTGCGCCAGCCGTTCCTCCACCTGCTCCAGAGCCCCCTGATACGAGCTAGGATTTTCGAAAATAATAAACAGCATATAAAATCTTTTTTGTATTATTTTTCTCGAAATTGTGAAAAACGAAAATGCGCGTTTGGTATTTTGTGACAGCATAAACTTTTAATGGAGGTAGACGTTCCGGGTGCGCAGCGCCCAAGGAAGATTTTCTTTATGTGCTGGTAGTGGTTGTACATTTACTATTACTAGTACGAAATAAATGCGTGCGGGGAAAAATAAAAAACGAAAACACATTTTTCATCTGGGGTGACGGTGCGCAGCATTCGCTGAGGAAGACGGATAGTAGTTGAAAAGAAGAAGAAGTACTCTCCTTGCACTTAAAACCTGCGAAGATGTAGTATCTATGTGTTGGCATAAGTACGCATAGTTGTTCATGTTCCACCGTTCGCGTGGAAGATATAAGAAACAGAAAGTATTTTTGTCATGCGCAAGAACATGGCCTACAATCGAAACAATCAGGTTTTAAGTGCAAGGAGTGGACGGAAGCCTGGTGTAGAAATCCGTCCCCCCAGTATAACCAGACAGAAATAACGGAAGTCCACTCGCACTGCAAGCAAAAGTGCGGGTTTTGTGAGAAAGAGTTTTTAGTGCGGAAGCACCTGCGCAAGCACTACCGCTGTGATGAAGACGATGCGTTTTTTCGCGACAAAAAAGGTTACAACTGCGCGCAGTGGAGCAGCTACGACTGCGGCAAGAAGAGCCAACTGGAGAGCCGGGACAAGGAGCTCTCGGGGTACAGCTCTGCGGACCTGGAAAAAGTCCGGAAGCACTGCCGCAAAACCTGCAACCACTGTCCGGAAGCGGAGAATAAAGTTCCTGGGGGGCACGAAGCTGCAGAAACGGCGTTCAGCAGTGGCAGCGGTACTATCAAGAGGAAAAAGACCAGGGGTATCAACACCGGAGCCGTTCCTGGTAGTACGGATCAAGAACATGCTGGTGCCTCAGCATCCGTTGGTGACAAGGACAACAGTGCCGTGGCACTATCCACAGATAATGTTATTTTACCGGACACTACAAAATGCAAATGCTGGCTCCGCGTGACATGGATTTGGCACAGGAACCTGATGCAGCAACATCATGAAAACACACGCGCTGCTGATAATTGCAGAAGTGTCTAGATGCGTTTTGTACTTAGTGTCCGGCAAAATAATTTTGGTATTGCATAAGCAGCAGCAGCTTCGTCCTCCGCTACAGCGGGATCGGGTGTGGACGACGACAGACCAGTATCGCTGCGGAAGCACGTCAAGATATCACGCGTGATGATAAGCACAAGCTCCTGCTTCACCACTCTATTCCTGCTCACGAACAATATTCTTTTTTTGTGTAGTCAATGGTTTTTACTCATACTCGTTAAAGTCTAACGTGTAGTGTTTCTGCATATCACTGTGTGCGTCGAATGATGATCGGGTTTATTGGAGTCGGGGAACATAAGCGGGCTTGTTTTTGATGGATACGAGAGTTCGGGGTCAACCACGGCTTCTGACGATCATGGGGATGGCGTGCACATGTCAGAACGGGTACTATGAACGACTAAGTTGTTTACGAATAATCTCGTTCGGTAGTTAATATGATCACCACTTCTCATGCATGCTTGCGGAGCCTATGACCACGGCTTTTCAGGCTCAGTCTGACCCTGAAAGGGAGGTACTTAGACTATGTTGAGTCGTGGTGGCGCTATCTATGATCCTCATGTCGATAAAAAAACCCTACTTGATGTTGCTACTACAGCTAAAACAAGAAAAAATCAGGAACGGCAACGGCAGGGCGACGCGGAGATGAGGACCTACGGCTCTTCTACAGGAGTCGTCTCCACCTCGCTGGGTACTGGATCGGAATCTGTTTCGTCGCACACCTCGTCCTCCCAAGGCACGCCATCAGCCGCGGACACGGATAGTGCCGGCGCCGTCACGACCCCGCAGGCAAAAATTCGTATTTAAGTAATGCTTTGAGCGATAAAATCAAAATCATAAGCAAGATCTTTCTTGTCCTTTATGGTTTGAACGCGGCGAAGTTATACCCTCGTTTTCTTCATCTACTTCCCTCGTTAAGACTGATATGGATCCATTTGAAAGTTGCTTTTTTCCATAAAAACAGTTTCCCTAAGAGTTGCCAGCAACACGGGTGTGGTTATTGCGCGAGTTCGTAATCTACAAGCAAACACCAGCGCCGCAACTACCAGGTCGTCATCATCTACTTCCATAATATGCATTGCAAACATGTCTGCGTCTGGGTCTGGAAGATCGAGGGCGTTTGTCATGCAAATTTTACATGACCCGCGAAGGAACGCGATGTCGGTGATGCATACTCTAGCATTACAGGTTCCGCCAAGGGTTTCTCATGCGTATTCTGCATGAGAAATGGGTCTCCGGGAAGCAAAAATCTGAGCACCTTTTGCTGCTCAATGCAATACAGATTTTTCTCTGCTCGCAAGTTAGCATGACAAATCCCATTCTTTCCAGACCCAGACACATCTGCAATCCATACACAACAAGAAATAACAAAGTCCGATGTTGTCTTTCGCGCCGAAGGTTGAGAACGTCCTTATTGCGAGGAAAAATTAACCCTCCCCATATCGAAAAGGTGTGTCTCAGAAAAGTTGCAATGCTGATTTGTGACCACAAATCGTCTCTGTCTTGCAAGAACGCAACTCCACAGGCTCCGCCGCATTCGGCAGGCGTTTTCTGATGCTGTTGGCCCTACAGACTAGACGCGTGCCATGCTCAGAGCCTAGCGCAAGACTTCTCTACTCAGTCTCATTATAGGCCTGCAGTCCTCTCCAGCAAGACAAGTCTGATCGGTGTACTCAAATGCAGCATGACGAGTTTCGTTTTCGATATGGGGAATGGGGATTTTTCCTTGCGATAGTCGTTCGTCGGCAGTGAAGAGAACCCCGGGTGCGAAGAGTCAGAAGCCGGCATGGAGTTTACCAATCTGCAGTTTCGCACCACCTATCGGCAAACGCCGCTCGTGAAAGGTAAATTTTACTAATATTCTAGACGAAAAAATTATAGTTCTCATGCGTGGTTTCATATATTCTCGGACTAGAATACCCATGGTATGGTGTTCTGATAACCTTGTACCTAGATCTAGAAGTTGTAAGTAGTAGCTTTCAATATCGGTGGTCGTATGAAATAATGCACTTTCATCAACATCACAGATACTTCCTACACTGTTACCTGCTTGCACTTAAAGCAGCGCAAGACGCACGGCGCCAGTGTGAGCGACGTGGTGATCTATGAATTGCCCAAAGAAGTCGAAACAAGTAGCGGGAGAGGGCGAGGCGAGATGAATAGTGCGGTCGACAGTACTAGTAATCTTCCTGACAGCACTGGTGGAAGCAAAAATACTGACGCAATGAAAAAGACCTCTCATGGCGCCTCGTCTGATATGAAGATGAACGTCGACGAATCTACTACGTCGCGCCAAGAATCAGGGAGCTCCTCAGCCTCCGCCCGGTCTCGCCGAGAACGGAAAAACAAAATAAAGCATCCAGTCGAAAAGGATGCTGCCAGGACGAGTCAGGACGGCGAAGCACATGGGGAAACAGCAGCAGGAGCTCCCTTGCACGCGCCGGAGGAGCATGAGCACACCGACGGGACGGTAACCGCGTCGACAACCTGTATCCATTTGGCACAACTTTTTAGAACAACTTGCACTCTTGTAGAGTTCGTTCTACGTGAACGTGTCGCGTTGACGCAAAGTTTTACAGGGGTTTTCATGTTCTTGATCTACGTGCAACTAAGTTTAAGTGGCCGCGGATGGAGCAGTAGAACTGTGTCGCCTCTTGCCATGCGCAGCGTCGTGCTTTTACTCAGCGCGAGGTGGCACCGGCAACCTGTAACTATTGTACTTTGATGAAGATGCATGAAATTCAAATTGAGACCGTGCGTGGAGCTCGAGTAAAGACAAAGCACTGTGTCACTCTTCCATACCCGCCTCCGTTTTCTTCACGCAGTACCTCCCCTGGCTTTTCCTGGGCGTGTTTGCCTACCTCGTGTGCTACAAGGGCAACGTCGCAAAGATGCTTTTTGTGAAGCTCGGTCTGGCCGTATCAAATGCAAATATGTCTGGGTCTGGTAAAATTGGAATCTGTATTGCTTGTCTTGCACTCCTGTAAAATCTGTCTTGCGTGACCGACAAAAGCCCGAATTCTTTGTCATGGCGCAGTTTCTCATGCGCATCACGCATGAGGAAGCGTCCCGAAAATCTGTCATGCTTGGCTGCTCTCAGGAGTATGCTCAATCATCGCCACGTAGCATCACAAGTTTCCAGACCCAGACATATTTGCACTGGATAGGCCGACTCTGATGACGAGATCGAAATGACCAATTTTTCCGCAACGAGTAGTCGGCGTTCGGAAAGCAAAAACAGGTACGACAGCAGAATATCAAATGTAAAAATGTCTGGGTCTGGAAGAATGCAACTTGTCATGCTAAATCTGAAGCATGCGAAAAATCTGTGTTGCATGATTACCAAAAGTCGCCCAGTTTTGACCAAGTCGGGAGGGAGTTTCTCATGCAGGATAGGCATGAGAGAGATCGCACAGACTCTGTCATGCTAGGTCCTGCATTTCAGACCTCATGGGTCATGGAAAAGCTGCATGACAAATCGCGCACTCTTCCAGACCCAGACATTTTTACATTTGATACAGAAGGTGGGGTTCGTATCAACCTCCGAACGCAACGATAGGACACAGATACGACTGATATAAAACCACGCAAAGATCACATCAAACTAGCGCCCCATGTTGTTTAGTAACTACCTGATTTGCAGCGAAAAAGTATAAGTTCTTCTTTGTGCGATCAGTAGTAATCAACGAAGATTCGAGTGAGGAAAGCCGTGCGAATCTTTTCTGCTGCACGTAGGTCTAAAACCTTTATTTTACCGCGAAAATAATCGCAAGCTGTGTTCGAAGCAGATCTCGTCCGCTGCTAGATAGCACAACTACAAGGAGGACCTAAAAGCTTCTAGATGTAGATACGCAGATATGAAAAAGATGAAAAAGATCAGATTGGGACGATCTAGTGCAGCGGGATTTATTCCACCAGCATCGTTTAGATTCTAAGCACGAGCAGGATCGGCGCACGCATATCGACCGTTGGTCGCATTGATCGGAGCCACGAGTTGTGAATCGCGGCAATATTTTTATCCACTATCCAAGATCTGTGAAGACAAAGACATATCCTTATCCACCGACCGTGCAAGATCTGTGAAGACATGCTTTCGAAGTATACTGCAAGATCTGTGAAGAAGACGCAAGATTCAAGGGCTGCAGTTCCAACGTAATTATTATGCCAAATGCAGTCGTGCCATCGTATTAAGGAGGTAGCTAGCTCAACTGCCGCCCTGGAAAAAAATACTTAAGACTGGCGCTTCATATCAGATCAATTTTGCAAGTCGTCCAGAAGGAGGTGGAGTTTTCTCCACTTTTCGCACAGCAAGCCCTTTGCTTGTGCTGCTTCTACTCTTGACAACTACTTACTTACACGTGCTTGCTAGGCGGTTCATAATTACGTTTGCCTCTGTCCGACGCTTGGAATACTGCACCAGGTCTTGTAGTTCTGGTACTTCTTTTCAACATTCGTTTTACAGCTACTTACCTCGAAAACAGATCCTCTGATCGAGGTGAACATCAGTCGCTGAAGATCAGTCGCTAATCACAGGCACCAAACAAGATGGCAGCTCCAGCACCTTCGAGTCTTCTTTTGCACGAGCGCACCTCGTCCCTGGGGGCTGCGCGTCGCACTGTGGCTGGTCGTGCTGCGAGTTCACGTGTCAAGCTGGCTTCTACGGTCCTGTCCGGTGTCTTGGCTTGTGAATTTTTTTTCGGGCTCCACCATCCGGCCTCCACCATCGTCGTTTTTGGTTTGCAAGTGAAGGCGGTAAAAACACCAGCGACTTCGGAGAAGTCTCAGGAACACTATCAGGACCAGTCCTCTTCGCATGAGATGTTGTGGAGTTACCGTGGCGCCGGGAACCACTTTCACATGGACGGGCCCTTTCCGTTGGTCACGCACAAATTAAAGAGAAAGAACACAACTTCCTCAGGAACTACTACGTCGTCCACGACACCAAACGCATCTGGAGGTGCTCCAGGCGAGTACGAATTCTCGCTCTCTTCAGAAGCTATCTCTATGTTGCAAAAGTGGCCGGGACCCTTTTACGTGGCCGCCGTGCACGGGACCTTTCGCAGCGGGAAGAGCACGCTGCTGACACTGTTGGCGCGGGAAATGGCCGGGGCGCACTACTACCAGTCGGGCAGGGGCAGTCCGCGGGCGGGCAGTGGCGGGGGAAGTGGTACGGCAACACCTTTTAGGCCGAGGACGGCTGGACAGGTAACAGGTTGAGAATACTGCTGGCGTACCACGGAATTGATGAATAAACATTTTCTTCTCGTCCATAATGCTAATCTCAGGGTAGAGCACAGATCATGTTGGCTAGACAAAGATGTTGAAAGAACATAAGGTGTGGTAGACCACCGCCGTCGTGACCACGAGATTGTTCACGTTCTAGAATAATACCGCAACTACTAGAGAAAAATAAACTACTGCTCTCAACATAATTGCAACATCGCGTGCTGCTGGCTCCGGCTCCGGGCCGCTCCGCCGGGGAAATGGTCAACATTATCATGCGAGGTTCTATCGCATGAACATGTCGATCTTGAAATGGGAAAGTCGCCGCGACGAGAGCAATATCGAAACTCATGCAAAAAGAGTGCTGTTTGCCTCCTTCTGGGTGGATAAATACAGCAGCTGCTGAGAGGACGTGGCAAAACCAAAACCGAAAAAGGTCGCTCCAGTACTAGGAGCCACGGGCGTCAGGACAACTTCAACCCCCACGGCGCGAGCAACAGTGGTAGAATCTTCATCTCGGCACGACCCCGCCCCACCGCGATTATTTGCCGCAAAGAAAATCGCAGCGAAAGTGTGTCAAGCAACCGCCTCAGGATTGACACACGCGTCCAGGACTTACGCGTTTCCCGCCGCGTGGAGAATGGGGAAGGAGAGCGCGCAGAGCTGCGGTAGGATGCTTTCAACATGTCTACTCCGAAATAAAACCGGCTCCTGCTCGTCTGGGACAACGACAAAGAAAGGCACAATTTCTTTCGAGGACGAAGTAAAAGAACAGCAGCAGCAGCCCCCGCAACGTCAGCCCCCGTCATACTTCTATCGCACAGGCGCTGGCGCCTGTCTTTCCGCAGCTGCAGCCGGGGTTTGCGCGGCAGCCGGCACCGCGTGCGAAGTCGCTGGGTGTGTCTGCGGCGCGGGGGCGGCTCTTTGTCTGGCCGGTTTATCCGGTACAACTTCCCCATCTCCTGTCGCAGCGCCAGCTGCAGTGGTCGTGCCCGGAATTGATAGTGGGAGGCAAGATGAAGATGAAAGACAAAGACGAGGTGGAAGTAGACCTGCTTTTAATACAAGAGCCAGTGCACCATCGTCGACAAACAGTGGCGTTGAGAAGCTCTCGCCTGCAGATAGTAAGACACGACCACCTTGCCAAAGCCAATCCCAGCCCGCCCAGCACGCGATGTCCTCGACAAGATCTACTGTATTGTTCATCATGGAGCAGAAATTATAATTTACGTAGAAATCATGATAAAAGATGAAACCGCCGGATCGTGGCATGATCATGCAGGAGTTTTGCTGCGTAAATAAAAGTATTAGTATGAGTACATCTACCCGTGATGTTGACCGAGCTGCGACGCAAGCTCTCTCCTCCGCGTAGCTGATGAAACGGGCCGCGCCATCAAAGTGAAGTGGATGCTACTATTAGTTATGTGACCAGCACACGAGGGTCTGCTAGTACGAGTAGTAGTACTTCTTCTTCTACTTCGCTCCTCGGCGTGCTTCAACAAAGAACAGGCAGGCCGCCGCAATATGTCGACATCAACTGTCGACTACAGGTGGAGCTAGGCTTTGCATTGTTTTAGGACTTAACTAAATCTAAATCTTCATTCTACGTTTTTTTATACCGCACAGGTGATCTCCCCGCCCGAGAGCTACCCCGCCCTGGAGGCCCCGTTCGAGGAATTTTCGTCCAAATCGGGCATCGACACACACACGCTCGGCCAAAACTTTGTCGTGTTTCCCCACAAGTCCGGCCGGGGGACGGTGATACTCATCGACTCCGAAGGCAGCAACAATCCGAAGCGGGGCGGGTTGAGCGAAAAGTTCGACCAGCAGCTCTTTACCATCGCGTACGGGCTTTCTTCGGTGGTGATGTTCCGCCCCAACGCGGTCCGTGTCAACGACGAAGCGTGCCTTATCCTGAGTAAAAACGTACCCACACCATAGTTGTCATGCAAATCTGCATGCTTAAAATGTTTGTCATGCGGAGCCCCATGAGAAGCATTTTCTAAGGGTGTTTTGAAATTTGTCATGCTCCAATCAGCATGAGAGACTAGATCTGTAATGCTGCTGAACTAGCACAAACAGCACTACACTACGCGTCCAAATTTGTCATGCGAAACAAGCAAAGTTGGCCGATTTGTCTAGCAGATTTTCCATCTTGACTCTGGTGTGGGTACGTTTTTACTCAGGATATGCCTGAACATGCTGGAAACGAGCTTGACTGTGTATCAAAATGAAAATAAATCCCCCCTCCCCACACTGCAGCGGAGATTTGTGTAGCATGATTTGAGACCACGAATCCTGTTGTCATGCCAGAAGGCAAAAGAACCGGACTCTAGAAGTGCTGGGTGGCGTAGGAGAGCCCTGATGCGTCTTCAGCATGACAGGAGGCCAATGGTGGAAATGGAAAACAGCATGACAATATATGCCTGCAAAGGAGGGAGCAACTGCGTCTCTTGGCCTTCTAGCAATACGAGTCGACTTGTGTACTAAAATACAGCAGCACAAATTTCGTTTTCGATATGGGGAGGGGGGATTTATTTTCCTTTTGATACTGTCGTACGGAACGCGCTGCGGAAAACCGCGGAAGTCGGGGCAGCAGCAGCTGGTGCCAAGGGGACGTTGCTGAACCAAAAATCGCGGGATGTTGCTGGCGAAAAGGACCACAAAAATAAATCCGTATTCGTTTTGATCCGCGACAGCGAGACGGAGGACGATGACGTGGCCGGGCGGCGGGAAATTTTGCAAAACGCACTGCTGAACAATCCGGAACGGAAGAACATGTTCCAGTCGAACGAGTACCAGTTCATTCTGCCCACCAGCTCGCCGACGGACATTCGGGAAGCGGACACCGAGGAGAGCCCGATATTTTTGTTCGAAAACCCGGAGGAGCACCTGATGCGGGGTAAGGGCGGCAAGCGCCAGAAGTTTGACAACAACGTGATCAAAGCGCTGGAGGGTCAATATGAGAGTGCACAACAACTCCCCCTCTCCTCATTTGTGTGGCGTGAACAGCAATACAAACACCGGCACACGTGGAGCCTATGCATGACAAATTTCTGTACCTGATGTAGTACTGTTTGGGCGTCCGGAATTTGCCGTGCATAATACTGACGCAGGGAAGCTGCAACTGGATTTGGGCTTTTGCATGAGAAATGAGGCCGAGGGGGAGTTGTGCACTGTCATAGTCAGCCGGACAGCATCGAGAGGAGCGACCCCTTCCGCCGGACGTTCGACCGCCTGCTCCGGAAAGTGGAGTATCAAATGTAAAAATGTCTGGGTCTGGAAGAAAAAGAATGCATGTTTGTCATGCTTGTCTGGCATGAAGCTTAAATCTGTCATGCACGTTGCCCAAGAGCCGCATTTTTCTGTCCTGCGGAGACGCAATTTGTCATGCAGAATAGGCAACACCTACAAGCTCAGAAATTTGTCATGCTGAGCCAGCACTTGTGGCCTCCTCATGCTACGCCACTTAGCATCACAAGTTTCCAGACCCAGACATTTTTGCATTTGATATGGAGCAGTCGCTGCGGGCGCTGCAGGTGGGCGATGCCACGGTGCACACGGGGGCGCAGCTGGTCACCATCCTGCAGGGCTTGGTAAAAAACGTGAACAGCGACGCCAAGGACATTTATCCGGACGTGAGCAGCGATGCGCTCGGGATCCATATCAAAAGGAAAAATCCCCCCTCCCCATATCGAAAACGAAACTTCTGATGCTGGATGTGGATACACAAATCGCGTTTGTCTTGCAGCAGAGGACTGCAGGCAGATGCCAAGCCTGAGACGAGAGGTTTTTACGTAGGTGCCTAGCATGACAAACGTCTATGCTGTAGGCCCAGCAGCATCTTCAAAAGCCGCCTACATAGTGCGGCGGACTCTCTACTAGATTTGCCTTCTTGCAAGACAAACAGGATTATTTGTGGTCACAAATCTACATCACAAATTTATTTCAGGCGCATGCGTGTTCAATATGGTGAGAAGGGATTTTTCCTTACGATAATCCAGAAGAAGCAGTTCGCGGATTTGGTCGCCAATATCCAGTATCCTGTGCAAAAGTATCGTACTCGTATTGCAATCATGCATTGTTAAGGTAAATCCGCATTACAAATTTTCTTTCTCATGCTGAGGAAATTTGTGATGCATTTCTACGAGTACGATACTTTTGCAATTCATATCCAGGCGAAGCTTCTGCCAGCGTTGGTCACCTCTCACGTGCAGGACCGGACGCCGGAAGTTCTTCGTTCCACAGATGATGATGAAAGCGTAGCCAGCCTCCGGATATCAAATGGAAAAGTGTCTGGGTCTGGAAGAAGGCAAGTTTGTCATGCTTGTCTGGCATGACTCGAGAATCTGTGTTGCATAGGCAGGAGAAAGCCCTCTTACCTGTCACGCAAAAACGCAGTTTGCCATGCGGAATACGTAAGACATGGCAGCCAAAAAATTTGTCATGAGTAGCTGCGTATTGCAGTGCGTCTATCATTCACTTCTAGCATTACAAGTTTCCAGACATCCAGACATATTTGCAATGCATACCGGACTGTAGTCCACCAGGGACAAGCGACTGCGACGACGTCCAAGCTCATTCAGCTCCCACTCTCGGCCTTCGTTTCCTCGCGAATTGGTAGTGCAACACCGGACGAGGATATGGAAAAAAGTTGTTTGTCACCGTCACTAAGTTGCAGGCTTTGCATTTTTACAATTTTTTTTGGCGTCGCAGCTTTTCGTCCTTGTATAATTGCAGAAACAAACACTTCTAGGGAAATCCCTTATGAAGTTTGGCTGTGAAGATGCATAATTTTTGCGCATGGCCCCCGAACGTTTTGCATTCGCAAAAAAGCGCGTGAGTTATCGTGGCGAACTTTTTTCGTTTGATAGAGGAAGTTATCAAATGCAAAAATGTCTGGTTCAGGAAGATTTTGAGATTTGTCATGCTTGTCTGGCCTGACCAAAAAGTTTGTGATGCGTGTCCAAGAAGAGACCCTTTTGCCTGTCATCCAAAAACGCAGTTTGGCACGCGAAAAACCCAATACAAAGAAGCGCAGATGTTTCTCATGCTTGCCTGTGCATTACAGAGCATTCACTATTCCCAAAGCAGCATTACAAGTTTCCAGACCCAGACATTTTTGCAGTTGATAGAAGTGTTTGCTTGGTGGAGCCGCGTGGTCGTGCCGGCAGTGGAGAGCGCGCTCTTTATATCACCAGAAAAAAGTGTTACAGCTACACATTTGTTGGAGTTTCCGCATCACAAATTTTCTCTGTGCGGCACAGAAAACTTGTAATGCGAAGATCATAAGGGAAAACAGGAAGGAAACGAGGCGCCCAAGCATTTCCTGCATGAGAATGGTTGTCCGTGTTACCGGTCTTGCAACACAATGTGTGACTGTAACACTTTTTTCTTGCGATACTTTATCGACAGTACCACGGGAAAACTGAGAGAACCAGATTCATCTTCCGCGAATCTGTTTCTGGTGAACGAAGCACTGTGGGCACAGGAGGCGGTTGCGTTTGTGTATCAAAAGGAAAAATCCCCCCTCCCCATATCGAAAACGAAATTTGTGATGCTGGATTTGAGTACACAAATCGACTTGTAATGCTAGAAGGCCAAGAGACGCAGCTGTGGCCTCGTTTGCAGGCAATTTGTCATGCTGTTTCCCACTTCCAGCTGCCCCCTGTCATGCTGAAGATGCAAGGCTTTCCCACGCCAACCAGCACTAAAGTCCGCATCTTTTCCCTTCTAGCATGACAAAGATGTGGCCACAAATCTGCATCACAAATTTCTAGTTTGAGTATGGGGTGGGGGGATTTTTCACTTTGATATTGTGAACCGGGAGGTCAAGGCCCACGGATCGATTCAGCAGCTGAAGGCGAGGAGCAGTGTGTTTGCGAACTTGGTAGCGCAAGCGACGGCGGCAGAAAAAAAGGTGACGGACTTTTTCGAGACCGAGTTTAGCAAGGCCGCGGACCAAATTCTCACAAGCTTGGAGAAGGTTTTCTCCGTGGAAAAGGTCGGCCGACGGAAATTTCTCAACTTTGCCGCGGCAGGCAATTTTTATGCGGCTTGGCGGTTTGGAAGCATCTATACCGAGTTCGCGTCTTCGTCTGACGAGGACCTACGCTCTATTGCTGTGGCGCGCAAGGTATCAACTGTAAAAATGTCTGGGTCTGGAAGATTTCCAGGTTTGTCACGCATATTTCGCATGGGCTATGATGCCTGTAATGCATGACCTAGCATGACAGATTTTCTGCGGGTATCTTGATGCCTATCCCGCATGACAAATGCTCTCTCCGCGGAGCAAAAACTGGACGCCTCTTGCTGCTCATGCAATACAGGTTTTCTTAGATTCCAAAAATAGCATCACAAGTTGCATTCTTCCAGACCCAGACATTTTTGCAATCCATACAAGGCGGACCAGTATCGAAACGGTGAGGCGTATCCTGAGTAAAAACGTCCCCACACCAGAGTTGTAAATGCAGATTTGCAAAGACAGGAAGACTTGTAATGCGCATCCCCATGAGAGCCATTTCCAGTCGTGTTTTGGAATTTGTGATGCTGTGAACAGGATGAGCAGATGAATCTGTGATGCGGCTGCACTTGCTAACCCGCACTACGCTGCAGAGTGCAACTTGTCATGCGTGACTCACAAAACTCTTAGGTTTGTGTTGCAAAATCCCCATCCTGACCCTGGTGTGGGTACGTTTTTACTCAGGATAAGGCGCAGCTTTACCAAGTAGACCACCTGTGGTCTGCCCACTGGGTCCAAGCGGCAATGCGGGACATCCTCTTGCGCGTGTGGGTTCAGGGCGAAAAACCGGAGAAACCCTTTTGGTACGACACGATCCCTGGCGAGGACATCGGTACCCTCCGGCGGCTGCGGCAAAAGTACGACCTTTTGGGCCAGCTTGCCCGGTTTCAACCCGCGGACAGCCGCCGTGGTCTTATTTTCCAACGGAGCCATCAAATGGTTATCAAATGCAAAAGTGTCTGGGTCTGGAAGAATGCAACTTGTGATGCTGCATTTGGATGTCTAAAAAATTTGTGTTGCATGAGCAGCAAAAGGAATCATAATTTTTGCTACGCGGAGAGGGCATTTGTCATGCGGAATAGGCATTAGGAAGCCCTCTAAAGATCTGTGATGCTAGATCATGCATTAGAGGCGTCATGGATCATACAAAATATGCATGACAAGTCTCAGAATCTTCCAGACCCAGACCTTTTTGCAATCCATAATGGTAGGCGGACCGCAATTGCGCACTTGGTTGGAAAACTTCCAAGTAGATGAGAACACCGCGGCGAGATTATCGAAGGGAAAAATCCCCCCTCCCCATATCAAAACGGAATTTCTGATGCTGGATTTGTGTACACAAATCAGGTTTGTATTGCAGAGAGGCATTGCGGCCAGATCCCCAGGCTAGGTAGGGGCGCATGGGTCTAGTTGTTCAGCATGGCAAACGGCTCCCCTTTAGGCACAACAGCATGACAAATCGCTTCCATAATGGGGCGGAAGCTTCTGCCCTTGTCTTCTTGCAAGACAAATGCGATTTGTGACCTCAAATCAGCAACACAAATTTTCGGAAACAGACCTTTTCGATATGGGGAGGGGGGATTTTTCCTCTTGATAGAGATCGAGAAGCAGCGGTGTGGAAGAGGTGGTTGAAAACAACCGCAACAAAAATCTCGCGTTTCAGGAATTCAAAAAGAAGGAAGACGAGCTGGCGCGGTCGCTGAACGCTGAACTACGGACAGAATACGAGAGTAAGGTCCAAGCGCTGAAGCGCGAGGAGCGGGAGCGGCAGGAGCGGGAGCGGCGGGAGGCGATAGCGCTTGCGGACCTGGAGCGGCGGGCAGAGCAGCGCCGGCGCGAGCGTGAGTGGGAAGAGCAACGGCGCCGACAGAGGGAAGCGGAGGAATGCATGCGAAGGCAGCAGCAGCGCGAACAAGAAGAGTCGGAGCGGCAAATTGCGGCCCAGCGGAGAAGATTGCGAACGCCGAGCCCCGTGTATCGCAGGAGGCGATCGCCCAGTCCCTGCTCCATCCAGTAGGACGGGAAGTACAAGTTGTAAAAAATGAAAAATCATGCTTTCAGAAATAAAGATGTCGTGGTACTACAAGAACTGGGTGTTTATTTAGAATTTTGTTTTGGTACTATGCGTAGTTCGCCCACTTGTGGAGAAGAAGCAGAGTTTTGCTTTCTTCATCGTGTCGATCATTTATTTTCAGATTCAGTTCGTGGTTTCATATAGATATATATACATAGAGATAGAGTTAGAACAAGAACCATATTAGTCGTTGACATTATCGAGGCGCCGTACAACCGGAGTACAATAGAGCATGTTTGTCTCGATATCGTGAAGTATGTAGTGCCCATGTACAATTTTCCATGTAGGAGAACAACAGCAGAGTTGTTTTTTTCGAAAATATAAACCTAGCGCGGTTCTTCAGCACTCCAGACAGCAGAGTTTTGCAGTCCACTTGGAGGCTGCATTTGAAGATACGGATTTTGGTTGTCATTTAGATTGTTGATGGTAGTCAAAATCACACTGAAAAAATATAGCCTTTGGTCATAAAAAGTACCGAACAGAAGATCCAGTGTTTCTGTACTTATCGAAGGAGGTGCAGAAGTGAAGAAGTATCTTGCTTGAAATATCTTCAAAGAATTATACCACGTGGTGAGAGCAGGACCTCCTCGTGCTAGCTGCTAGTCCACTTGGTGTCGTTCAGTAGTGACGGCGTTCGTCTTTTTGGAAATGTTTTTCATGCCCCCTCTCACTCTGGGTGGAAGGATTTTATTTTGCGTGACGACAGTCTACTGCTCAACAGGTACGAAGTAAGTGGCTGTAGTACCAGCGCAGTACTATTATACTGCATGTCGGGGAACGAAGAAGATCATGATCTATCATCAGCCGGGTACCTACTTACTTAGATAACAAAAATCTCGAAGCTAAACCAACGTTCATCTTCTTCGAAATCATCGGTTTTTTACTTACAAAGGTTTGACCGACTTATAAAGCAGATCAATGTACGCTGCCTGGTGTTTCTGTTTGAAGGTCATCAAAATAGATCTCAGACGGAAGGTAGTACTAGTGCATCAAGAGGACGAGGACTTGGACTTGCGTTTTTATTTTTCATCTGGACGAGTTTCTTCAAACTATAATGATAAATCTTATCTACTCAGCTCGCTTTCTCTTTCCCTACTAACATCAGATACTCTTCCCTATAGGAGAACAAGTTGTCAGGTTGTACTACTTAACGGAGCGTGCAGAACGAGCCCAACTTTCACTTGATCGCCATGAGACCACCACCGAAGAGGATCACCACGGGGTGTTCTTCTACGCCACCTGTTTTATTCAGTACATCCGTGCAGCCCTGGAATAAAAGTGAGAATCGAGGACGCCCCCGGGTTGTCATGTTGCTACCCGTGGGGGCGAAAAAAACATCTACCTCCCGGGGTCGTTTCTGCTTTTCAAGCGCGGTGTCATCGTTGGGAATAAACACCAGATCTTCTGGTGGAACAGACGTTGCGTCGGCGCGGTCGTCTAGAGGTACTAGAAAAACAGGAAGCTGGTGCACCACTACACAGCAGGAGATTTTTCGCCGCCCGGCAGGCAACATTGCAGCTTTTGAACATGATCAAGTAGGAGCAGGTGCGGTGCTGCCGTACACGTCGTACAGTCATCCTGGTGCCGTCAAGAACAGCAACAATGATCAAAGGGGAAGGTGGACGAGATTTCTTTCATCAACAACCATCTCTATCTCATCAACCGCCCCGGGAAGATCAGTACATGGTGCGAAGAACGAGCTGCGCACCATCGAGAAGGGGACACCTGTATCAACTGTAAAAATGTCTGGGTCTGGAAGAATTCATGTGTGTCATCCTTGTCTGGCATGACTCTTAAATCTGTCATGCACGTTACTCAAGAGCTAGAGCTCCGTTTTTCTGTGATGCAGAGCCGTAGTTTGTCATGCAGAATAGGCAACACCTAGGAGCTCAGAAACTTGTCATGCTGAGCCAGTATTCGTAGCCTCATCATGAGACGCCACCCAGCATTACAAGTTTCCAGACTAAGACACTTTTACTTTTGATAACCTGGAACACCGGACTATCGAGTCTTTTTCGCGACCTCCTCGAAAGGTTGTTGTTCACAACTACCTGCAGAAGTAGCTGCTGCCCCTTCGTCTACTACCTACATTTCTCCTTGGCACGACATACCGCTGCGACCGATATTAGCGCAACGAGTAACAGAAGACTCGGCATACAACTCTAGTAAAGAAGATGAGAACACGCCCGACCTTTTCTTCCACTTCGTCTGCGAGGTGCCGATGTTTACCACTGCGAAGTTCGATATGAGAGTGCACAGCGCCCCTCCTCCCATCATTTGCAGCATTGCATGAACAGCAATAGAAGCGGCGACAAGAATGCAACTTTTGCATGACAAATTTTACACAGGACGATTGTAGCACTCTGGTGGCTCCTGCCAGAATCTGTCATGCTAACAACCCAAAGGGGCAAAGAGTCGATTGGGTATTTTGCATGACAAATGAGGGGGAGGTGGAGTTGTGCACTCTCATATTCGAAACTTCGAAAACAGAAGACTTCAATCCGATCAAGCAAGACACCCGGAAGAAGAGCGTATCCTCTGCAAAAGTATCGTATTCGTAGAAATGCAAGTCTTGCATTACAAATTTTTTTCCCAAGGTAAATCCGCATTACAAATTTTACTTCTCATGCTGAGGAGATTTGTAATGCATTTATACGAGTACGATACTTTTGCAGTTGATAGAGCGATGGCCCCGACGTCCACCTTCGCCTATGGATGGCAAACATGTCTGGGTTTGGAAGAGTGGAACTTGTAATGCTGTATGCGGATTCTAAAAATATCAGTGTTGCAAGAGCAGCAAGAGGAGTCAGTTCTTGGCACGCGGAGAGGGCATTTCTGATGCGTAATTAGCATCAAGAAGCTCTCAAAAGATCTGTGATGCTAGCACCAGCATCACAGACCTCACTGGTCATGCATCAAGATGTGCATGACAAGTTCCGGCTCTTCCAGACCCAGACACTTTTGCACTTGACATCGCCACTACCAGTATGAAAGCGAGGGCGAGAAGGGCATGTTTGTCGGAGACTACGGGTTTTTTCCGCAGACCTTTTCCTCACGTGAGGAAAGGGATAGCGTCACCGACGTTCCTGGTGATGACGACCCACTAGACGTGCTGGTTATAAGCACTACAGATCACGATGATCTACAACTCGGGAACTACGCTAAAACCAATGGAGAGAAGATGACCTCTCCTGCCGAGCAAACACAAGTAGTACGTAAAAGCGACAATAGCTCTTGTACTTCCTTTAAGACGTCAACCACGACAAAGGTCGGCGAATGTTTTTTGGTAAAGCTGCTTGGTGGACTGGCGTTGATTGACGAGGGCGAATATCAAGTGCAAATGTGTCTGGGTCTGGAAAGAATGGAATTTGTGATGCTAACTTTCGATGATACAAAAAAACCTGTGTTGCATGAGCAGCAAACGGCACTCAGATTTTTGCTATTTGAAAAGGCATTTCTCATGCAGTGTAGGCATAAGAAAGCCTTCACAAAATAACCTGTAATGCTAAAGCATGCGTCACCGACATCGCAGGGCATGTAAAATTTGCATGACAAACTCCCCCAATCGTCCAGAGCCAGACATATTTGCAATTGATAGCGAAACGGACTGGAAAATGCTTTGTGTCCGGATCGAGGAAGACGGCACACATAATGATTTTATCCCTGATGCGCCGCAACTTGATCGGATCAGAAAATTATCCAAGAAAAAAAAAATTGTAGGAGTTGTATACTTTTTTTGAGGAACGGCATTACAAATCTGGGTGGCATGAGAGCAAAATAAACCTGTCATGCGCAGAAGCTAGACTAACGAATGTTTTTTTCTTCGATAAAACTGGTTCCGATTCTACAAAACCGCAGAGGGCAAGCCGGTAAACGATTTCTTCGAAAACGGACGGTTTTTTTCTGCGGAGGAGTGTTTGCCAGTAATAGAAGCGGTATCAAATGTAAAAATGTCTGGGTCTGGAAGAATCCAACTTGTCGTGCTGATTTTGGATGCTAAAAAAATCTGTATTGCATGAGCAGAAAAGAGAGTCCAAGTTTTGCTACACGGAAAGAGCATTTGTCATGCGGTATAGGCATCAGGAAGCCCTCACAAAATCTGTGATGCTTGGGCATGCATCACAGACATCAGGATCCATGCAAAACGTGCATGACAAACCTGGTAATCTTCCAGACCCAGACATTTTTACATTTGATAAGCGGCACATAGCTGCTGGAAGAGGAAGTTCTGTGACAAGTCAAGGATTCATTTTCGTGACAGTCAAGAACTACATCGAGCGGCAATAAAATGAACCCGTTTTTCAACTACACCCTGGTTCGCCTCGAAGACCTGGCGCTACTTACTAATGTGAAGATGCAAAATTAGTTCTATTCCTATGCGATGCAAAAATCTTCAAAAATATTTATGTGCCGCGCGGCTGCACATGGGGAATGCCAATTATGAATGCAGTAGATCATGTTTATTCCGGTTATTTGCGTCGAACCACGTTGCTTGTTTCCTGTTCGTGTCATAATTTTCGTCGGCGCGTGCCACCAGAACTTCCATTCCAAAAACTTGTGTCTTTCTATTCTTGTTGCGCAAGAAGACCTTATTTTACTTTCATCTTGCACAAGATAGTAAGTTAGTACTCATAGCAACGTCGCTGGAATTCGAAATAGAAAATCAGAACATTCATAATGATCAAATCGGGTCGCAGTCGGTTTCCTTCCTTGTTGCAAGCTGCATGACTCGCCGTCTGGGTATGGAAAATTTACACACTCCTTGATATCACAATTCTTCTATCTACTCTAGGTCTATGGTGTTACAGTATGATTGCTGCCAATATCACAATTCTTGAAAAGCAAAATGACAGAAGTGAAGAACATGTTCGCCCATCTACTAGGGGACCACTTTTACAACTATCAACAGTAAATTTATTTTTATTCCCGTACACGAGGTACAAAATGCATCAGAAATTTCGTCAACTTAGAGGATGTCACTTGATGTCCTGCTAACTAAGAGAGAAGGCGAAGGCAAGCTTTGTCATGCAGAAACCGCTTTTGTATGTCGTGTGCAGGAAATTATTTTTTTTACTGTGGATAGTACTTACGGCCCAAGTAGTACGACTCCAACGACCGGAGAAATGAAATGGAGCACCGAGGAGCAGAACATAGCAGCTGCAGCGTCCGCACGGAATAATATCAACATGACAGGCGCGGCGTCCTTACAACACCATAACTACCAGCAGACGTGGTCCTCGGGAACAATGCTAAACTGGGACGAAATCCCAACTCTGCTTTTTGACAATGTCTATTCGCAGTTCGAGTTTTTCAGACAAGAACTCGAAGACTTCAGAATCGCCGTGAACTGGAGAAAGGACGGAGTTTTCTTTACCCTGCGCAAATATTAAAACGCCCCCGCGCGCCCACAGTCAAGCAGCTGGGAAATAGTCTGAAAGACAAATGATCCACAAGGTTTGGTTGTTGGGGTTGGGCTCCTTGCGGTGGTGTACTGGTGTTTTTCGACCAAGTGCAGCAGTAGCATCTTCACAAAAGATCGAGCGCCCTCTCCTGAATTAAGCAAGAGAAATTTCAAAACACCACTGGGAATAGATGGTTGTCATGTTGATTGTAGTTGAGGCTGTGCACCACGATAAGCATTTCGGTCTTGCATGATAATGCATGACAAGTTTATGTAGTTAGTGCAGGGGCGACGATTTATTTACACGGGATATTTTTCCTCCTGCTCTTCTCCTTTCATCTCCAGTACCTGCTCGCGATCCTGTTTTTGAAGCTCTCAGCGAAAACCTGTTTTCTTCTCTTTTTCTGCAACGCGGCTATTTGCAGTTACTTCCTACCAATGTTCAACGATTTCATGCGCCGGGGTGGAGAAGATCTTACCGATACCAGCTCTACTAGCGTTAGTTCGACGAACGCGATCAAGGTTTTCGGGTTGTCTGCGAATTACTTTGATGAGGTATTACAATGAAAAGTGCGCCCACGACGACCCCGGAAGCTGCAAAAATTTCTGATGCATAACGTTTTCAAAGAAATGCTGAAAATCTTTTTTTATCTATAGAATCTTTCTGATGCGGAACCTAGACTGAGCAAGGCATCTTTGGCATACCAGGTTCGGCTGTTGCTGGGCTGCTCGTGTGCAACACAAATTCATAGTTATTCAGCATTGAGTGAGAATTTGTTGTGCTGAAAAATGTAGGATGGGAGATGTTTCCCGAGGAAATTTTTGCGAATACAAATGCATCCACGTCGTTCTGGGGTCGTGGTGGGGGCAGTTTTCATTGTAATATGAGGACGGCTGGTTTGTCACGGCCACGGTCGGCTTCCCCTTGCTGTGTTTGAACGTGGTGTATCGCGCGTGAAGAGCTGTGTAGGTTCACTGTGACGATTTTATTGGAGGACTCGCATGACAAATTTGTGTCGCATGACAAGAACGAAAATTATTCACCTAAATGAACCATTTAGTTGAGTAATGTGGGCCAAAATTATGCCACGACTTGTTGCAGTTGCAGCAGGACATCAAGCGCTGGACTTTGACATCCTCTGCATCACAAGGTCACAGTGAAGAAGCAGTCTTTTGTTCTTGCGATATGATGCTGTTGTTGAAGATACTGAAGTACCAACCGTAAGAACTATGTCTGGGTTATCCCACAGAAAAAAGCTGGCAGGGCATGTTTGTAATGCAGAAATAAATACACAGAAAAATCTGTCATGGGCGGCCTCATAGCATGCTGCTTGGGATACGCAATACAGATTTTTTTGTGTATTTATTTTTGCATTACGAATGTGACCTGCCAGCTTTTTTCTGTGGGATATGGGTCTTCTAGAACAGCGCAACTTTCTGTCATGCGTCTTTTCTTGCCTCACGCTCACCCAAAAAGTGTCTGGAATGCAATACAGCATTTATTATAGTACAGAGAACCATTCCGATTCCATGCAGTCTATTCCGCATCATGAGCATGTGATATTGGTTCACTCTTGTGGGTGGCATCAACACAGGTGCAAATTTTGCAGCCCATGCAAGACAGATTTTTCTCTGACTGACAGAAGAACGCATCGCAAGTTTGCTCCTTTCCAGAACCAGACTTATGTTTGCTGAATGCATACGCAATTAACGTTCGACTTGGCGGCGACCGTGACGAGGAGACAGCTAGGCAGGAGGGGAACAACGGCGAGCAGCCATTTAGAAGTAACCACACCCACTGTGTCCCTGTGCGGGCGGGAAGATGGAGGAGGAAGTAGAGAAGCCCTGCGCAGACGCTGAAAGAGTCTGACGTATAATCAAAGATGAACCAATTACCAAGAGCAACTCCAACTCGAGCCTGTATTTGTAGCGTTGACTCTGGCGCTGCCATCCGGAACATTGAAAAGAAGCCTGCCGCAGCGCTCTAAGTCGCTTCAATCGACTATTTCGATATAGTGGCCCAGGCTGCACTTCCAGAACCCGTTGTTCAGCATTTTACGCAAGTTATCTCCTTTTTGCTGGTCTGGGTGGTCGAAGTACTTGCTTTTCTCTTCGTGTATAGAGTGAAAAAGTTCCCTCATGCCCTCTTTGCAGTTCCCTCAAGCCGGGTGAACGATGTGGTTGTGGAGGCTCGTTCTTGCAGGAGCTTTCTACATCAGTTGTAGACGGATCTAGTCTGAGTCAATCTACTTGAAGATCGTAAGGCACTTTCTGGCATACGGTGCCAGGAGTCGTAGTTCCCTCTTGAACAGGGTGTGCCTCTGAGCTCCAACTTAAACCTGAAGCTTAGAAAACAAACAGCGATCTTCACTTTCTATCACATCTACTTCACGCTACAGAATATTGTGAGAGAGAACCAAATACAATCCGAAATACGAAGCTCCTAGCACACCCGCACCTTGCTACGAGTGGCACGCTGCATGGACCGGCAAGAGCCTCATTGTTGGATGGATCGAAATTTGAATGATCTAGTGAAGACGATCAGTGTGCGAAACCAAGACGGCAATCCCGACGCAGATCTGATCTGATGTCAAATATCGTGAGCTTTTTAGCGCCTGGATCCAAATCCATGATCCTCCTCCTTCGGTGGCCGTTTTATCATGTTGGCCATGATCCTCGCCATTGTCCCAAATTCGCACAGGTTGAGACTAGTGTTTATTCTACTGAATCGTCTACTATCATACAGCTCGCAAATCAAACGCGATTACGATTTACCTAGTGCTGCTGGTGCTTGTTCTGCATCGCCTTTAATACGTTTTTGGTTTTCATCTTTTGACTGCTTTCTTATCACAGTAGTTCGCTTCGGCTAGTAGTAGTACAGTGATCGACTCAGATTTCAATTTTTGATTTGAAATTGCAATATACAAAAATCATGCTGTCCTCCCGTGTTGCAAGTTCTCTCCTCTATACTGTGATTTGGTTCGCAGCATCTTTCTGCTCTCCTGGACGAGTCGACGCCGTGAAGATCCGGCATCGAGCAGAACGGGGCGACAGCCCCGCCCCTCGCGAAGCGAGCAAGATCAACCGCAATTTGCTTGCGCGCGCAGAGGTGGAAGCTGCAGTACCGGATCAAGTGAAAGAGCGGGGTTTGGTTCTCGAACGCATAGTATGCTGAGTAAAATCGTCCTCATCCGCCGGAGCCCCATTGGGAACGTTTTCTAGGGGTATTTTGGAATTTGTGATGCTTGAATCAGCATAAGAGGCTAGATCTGTGATGCTGCTCAACTAGCTAAATGGTATTAATACACTACAAAGCCAAAGACAATTTTGTCATGCGCAACAGCCAAACCCAAACGCATACGCAAATCTGGCTGATTCAGTTGTCTCTAGCACATTTCCCATTCGTTGTTGACTCTGGGTTGGGGACCTCGCTTTTGCACAGAATACATAGCAGGCTTCCTACCGCGTCAATCGAACGCCGGCTTTCACCCGGGTAAAAACATTCGCGCGGCCAGCACAAACGAAAGAGATCACTACGACCGGCAGACGGAAAGCAGCGTAGAGAGGGATGCTCGCCACAACGTGAGGGCCGCAGCGGTCGACGCATACCGTTTTGGCGGTCGTGACGAGCGGCTCCCCGGAACGTGGGAACAGTTTGCGGCTCTGCCCCAGTACATGCGGGAAGATTTGCAGGTGGTGAGGTATGCGATCAGAAGTGGAATCATCAACACTTTTGAGCAGTTCCGCGCCCTGCCGGAACCGCTCAGAAAAGACATGTTTGTTATCGAGGATGCGCTGAGGCACCGTGTAATTCGTTCGTGGGACGACTGGGATGCATTGCCGCTGGGAAGGGGTCTGATCCGCGAAATGGTCGAAGATCATGTGGGCCCGCTCCTTGAGGAGTCATTGGGAGCTGCGCCCGGCTTGCAGCCCCCCACAGCCCTGTAATAAACACCGTGACAAAAAAGCTCAAAAGTATACGACACTTTTTTTCCAAGAACTCAACACGTCGCTAGTAGCAGAGACGCGCTGATGCTGCCACCAGGAACATAAGAGATTTAAATCACCATTTTGAAAAACGGTTTTGGATCATTTGCGATGTTGTTTAGTTACTCGATATTTATTCCTGTTTTGAAAAGTAGAAGTTTTTGGTAATGAAATAAAACAAGAATTGACGTAGCATTGAGCTATAGTTTTGAAAATTTCATGATGTAAGATTGAGCTATAGTTTTGAAAATTAATTTCATCATGTAAGATTGCGCTATAGTAGTTTTGAAAGTTTTTACATGTTTTTTTATAATTTTGGATTTTTTTGGGCCATTTACTGTTCAACTGGAATTGGGGTCAGGGGGTTGCTACAACGAGTATGCTCTTCAAGCACCACCATAACAAGGGAGCCACTCCAATCCAGATCGCTCATGAAGAAGAATCAAACTAAAACAAATATGCAGAAATGGCCCGAACAGTCGTGCCATCATCATGCGGCCAAGTCAGTGGTAGAGGTAGAGCTATAAAGCGCGACGCTATTCGTATTCTTAAAGGGGCAATGCGAATGCTGAGCGTTATTAGCTGTCAGGCCTTGAAGATGAGTACAACAACTCGGCACTTAATACACTAAAAAGAGGACGGATTATTTGCCTACCGAGACCGGCACAACTGCTCTGTGCACACTTTTGGACTGTTCTTCGTTGTTTTTTTTTCGTTTGTTTCAACATACGCGGCTCGAAGGTGCCTCCCACTCCCTCGGCTACTGCAGGCCAGGATCCGTTGTTTCGCAACACATGTATATTTTTTTTTCCCGTGGTCTTGCTCTTGGTCTTGGCCGCTTACGGTTACAATGCTTACCTCAACTTCAACTTTTCTCTTCGTGGGTAGAGTCGTGAAAAAGTTCTCTCCTGAACACGGGTGAAAGAATGCGGAGGGTCTACTTGCGTTCTTGCAGGAGCGAGCTTTTGTACAGATGTTATGCACAACACGCATAAAAATTTTTCTTCCGAGTGACAGAAACATTGATCTGCGTGAGGATGGACCAACAAGGGCTGCAGTGGACCAGGCGAGAATTCATTGTGCGTCTGACAACTAAGGTCGTGGACGAGAATTCTTGTGCAGGAGCCTTTTCTTTTAGCGTTTCATTTCGTCGTGTCTGCTGCAGTAGCGTCATCTAAACAGGTTTTGAGACGAAAAATAAAGATACACGGAAGACGAGCGAAGCAGCTGCAGCATGGCCCCAAAACTGAAGGACGTGCAGGAGGAGCTTCGTATCCGCTGCAAATTTAATTGAAGTAGAGACGGGCAAAGAATGATGATTTTGATCATGCCAGAACTTTTGCATGCCCGCACCTCAGGTCTGGCATTCGGGACCTTCCAGGGACGTCCTCTGCAAGGTCGTTGCAATGTTTCCCACCCTGTGGATGAGAGTAGTCTTCTCAAAATAAAATTGTGGGCGTCTTTTGGAAGTTGCGCAAAACTAACAGCGCTTTTTTTGTGAAACCTAGTACAGGACCACGTCGGCGCACCGCATCGAGTTGCAAGTAATTTCTTCTAGAAGAAGAAGACCCCGACATACGATTGACTTGCAGGATTCCATACTTGTTCAGGAGAAGCAGAAGCATGCTAGTACGGCACAGCAACTGGCGGAGAAAAGCGAGACGCTGCAAAAACTGACCAAAGAGTTCGACGACCTGAAACTTGAGCAGCAGAAGCTCATTCTCCAGGCTATGAACGGCGAAGGGGGTTCAGGTGTTTTTACAATCAACATCTCAAGTGCGATAACAAACCGCGGACTTTGCTGTGGGATCTTGCATGGTGGACAGCATGTTGAGAGCCACAGATATTAAGTACATACAAACAAAAATGGCGCTTTATTGATTTCGCATGTCAGTACAAATTTCGCCGGATAATTCTACTGCATCTATTTCGGGCCGCTTTAATTATGTCATTCGCATTTTTTTTATGAGCCCTGTGGAGATGTTAAGCAAAACGATTTTTTTTTTACCCAGCTTTTGCATTACATCAAAGCTCCGTGATTTTCAACAGTGTAAGTATCATTTGCAACAGTTCTACTTGAGATTGTGATTTTGATTGTAACACCTGATCGCGGCATACGGGCAGCCGATAGCAGCTCCTTGGAGAGGACGAAGTTCGAGGATGAAAGGAAAGAATTTGAGAAACAGGTACAATATAGCTTTGGCGTTGTTTATGCATATGCAAAAGTAAGTAGCGGCGCGCTAGCTGTATTTGAAAGAGAGTAGTTGAGCACTGCATGACATCATTTACAGCGGCCACAGGACGACATCACAAATTTTTGCACACAAAGAAGTATTAAGTACCACCTTCTATAAAATCCCGATTAATACCCCAGATCTCCGCCCAGAAGCAGACCGAGGAAGGCTTGCGCGAGGAGATAACAAAGCTGCACACAACCCTCGAGGCAGAATCCAAGGAGATTTCCAGTTTAGAAGCGCGGTTGCAGGAGTACAACCCGCTCAGGTGTTACAATCTCAAGCGTTACAATAGAATCTGAGACTTGTCTTGCATGATGAACATGACAGACTCGGACAGCATTCCACTTTCTGCAATACAAATTTAGCCAGATTGTAGTGCGGATTGGGACTCCAGAACTTGTCATGCGCAATACTATGAGAGTTGGCTAGATCATGCACTCTTCTTGCATCACAGATTTCCATATTCTATTGTAACATTTGAGATTGTAACATCTGAGCGGGTTATAAGGAGTCGTTTGAAAGTTTGCGGCGGTCGGGCAGCAAGTTGATCGAGACACAGGAGGTGCTGCAGGTGTTTAGAACAAAGGTGGCTGGGGAAATTGAGGAGCAGGTAAATTGTGTTTCTTTTTTCAGTTGCGACGTCGTGCCAGCATGTAAATGTAGCCACAGGAGCGAAGAGTTGCGTTTGCGGGGTGGAAACGCGGATGCTTATCGTCATCAAAGCGCAGCTCCTGTTTTTCCTCCGCGGATCAGTTCTGCATGATCTTGAAAGTATTGTAGAGAGACTGAAACACAACATCAAAAACAGCTCGCCACGCTGCGACAACAAGCACTGGAGTCCGGCGCCAACGAACATGATTGTCTCGACGTAACGCATATCAGATGCAAATATGTAGTCTGGGTCATCTGGAATAAACTTGTGATGCTGAGTGGAGAAGCAAGCATAAAGACGCCACATCAAGTGTTGACGGCTCAGCAAGACAAGCTTCCGAGTTGCTAAAAAATGTTGTCTATTCAGCATGAAAAACTGCGTCTTCGAACTGACAGATAGTTGGGGCAGCTTTTGAAGAACGTGCATGACAGACTCACTTGAGAGGCATGGTAGCCGAGCACGACAAAAAACCTTGCATCTTCCAGACCCAGATTTCTGTGTGATAACGCAGGAACTCTTCGATGTTGACCACAGTACGGATTCCGCTGGTGGCGCAATTAGTAATCTGAGCAGCACTTTGGTTATTTCAGGCAGCGGAAATGACAAAAACGATGTTAAAAACGGCGACCAGTATCAGAAACCACGACGAGATGATGTTGCACCGACCTATCCGAGCTCACCGAGAACGAAGAACAGCCGTCGCATCAAAACCGGTGACCACGTCGGTCCAGCAACTTCCTCTTCTGCAACCGGGGTGTCCTCGCATGACCAGGAGGACGAGGCAGGTGCAAGTGCTGAAGACGCCCTGAATGAGTCCGCGACGCTGATCGAAAAAGTGCAACCTGGTCAACATCAATCCCACCTACAACTTGCGGATCCAAGCGTGATTAGCGAAATCGTAGAAAACAGCCTGCAAAACATTTACAGCAAATACGATTTAGAACAGCAGAAGACCACGGCGCCAACAGCTGCAATTAGTTCCTCGGCGGAGTACAACTATGAGCATGATGATAAAGCGTTAATATACAACTACGACGTCAAGAGCAATTTATTCTCCAGCAGCTACGGGTCTGGTTCTCGTTCTCCTACCTGCGGCGGCCCGAGTACGGAGGACATTTTGAAGCAATTGAAGGCCGTCAAGTCCTTCACCAACAGAATCGCGAAGACGCTGGACCATAGGTTTAATCGGGAGGTGAAAGAGCACCTGCGGACGAAGGAATTCTTGAAGCAACAACTGAAAAAAGTGTTGGAATTCGAGAATCAAGCGAAGAAACCCATCGAGCTGTTGCATAAAGGTACTTATTTACATAAATTACTGATCCACTTTCTCATGCACACGACACCACCAGAGGGTGACTCTGTCATGCATTTTTGTGCATTCAAAAAAAAGTAAAAGTCAAAAACGCACTACAGGTGCCTTGACCGCCCGTCCGCGCAACAAACACGAGATGGACGAAATGGAATTTCAGCTGCAGATATTATCGCAAGAAAAAAGTGTTACAGTTACACATTGTGTTGCAAGACCGGCAACACAGACAACCTTTCTCATGCAGGAAATGCTTGGGAGTCTCGTTTCCTTCCTGTTTTCCCTTATGATCTTCGCATTACAAGTTTTCTCTGCCACACAGAGAAAATTAATATTTATATTGCTTGACTTCCGGGTTCTGTAATCACATACCCCAGACGAGAGGTGACGGCGAGAGGTGACGGCGACAGGTGGCGGCGAGAGGTGAAACGACAGGCGAAACGACAGGCGAAAGGACAGGCGAAACGACAGGCGAAAGGAGAGGCGAAACGACAGGCGGCGACGACAGGCCAAAAGTGGCAACTTCCCATGCGGTTTCGCACAAGCAGCGTGGACATTCCAAGCAAAAAAATAAATAAAACAGTTATTGACTTTCGACAAAAAAAAGTTAGTTTTTTTTTATTTTTATTCACGTGCAAAAAATAAAAATAATTGCTTCACTCTTATTTTTCGGATAAGAAGAAACTAATTACTTTTTGCACGTGAATAAAAACAAAAGAGCTATTTTTTTCACATACCCCAGACGACAGGTGACGGCGACAGGTGAGGACGAGAGGCGACGGCGACAGGCGAAAGGAGAGGCGAAACGACAGGCGAAAGGAGAGGCGAAACGACAGGCGACGGCGACAGGCCAAAAGTGGCAATTTCTCACGCGGTTCCGCACCAGCAGCAGCAACAAAAAAAAGCAACGACTCAGCTACTTCCGAGAAGAAAAAGCCAACTTTTTTATTTTTATTCATGTGTAAAAAATAGCCAGCGCATTCATATCCGAAAAACCGGGACTATTTTATGCACGTGAATAAAAATCAAAAAACTGCTTTGTTGCTCGCGGAACTCAATAGCCCTTTGCTTTTTTTTGTTGCTGCTGCTGGTGCGGAACCGCATGAAGCGCTGCAGCTTTTGGCCTGGCGTCGTCGCCTGTCGTTTCGCCTGTCGCTCCACCTGTCGTTTCGCCTGTCGCGTCGCCTGTCGCCGCCGCCTGTCGCCTGGGGTGTCTGATTCCAGAGCCCGGAAGGAAAGTCTGACGCACTTTGGCTCTTTGCCTTTTCTTTTCGCAAATAAAGGAGAAGCCGATCGCGCCCGAAAAAAAGCGCCTCGGACTGATTTCCAGCGTTTTTAGTAGAATGCCCGCAAATAGCCGGGGCAGGGGTTTTCTTCTGGAATATCCGCGCACATTCGGGCGGGGGTTGTGTTCTGGAATATTCGAAAGCACTTACCTCCAAA